AAGTACAAATGTGGAATTCAAAAATGAAGGAATTCATATGAACAATAAATCCATGGGATGATATTCAACCTCACTAGTAATATTCTAAAATTGTCGAAGCAATTGAAAAAGCTCATCAGCTTGGGGGATTTGTCTCCATAACATTTATGTATTCTATAATAGAGAGGATAATTTAAATTAATAGTTTAAATTAATTAAACACCATAAAATATGCTCAAGGATTCTGGACTAGAAACAGCACACTTTAATTAGTAGGACCAAGATGGAGTAAGGCTCTTTGGACCCCAGAAAAGGCTGATGTCTCCCCACAGGGACAAAAAGAGGCAGCCAGCAAGAAGACCTGAGACTGCAGTCCCTTCCCTTATGGACAAGGCTCCTGACTCTCCTCCATGCTAGTGTCCCTTCTCAAGGGACAGAGCCTCCCAGAAGACACCCTGTGTCCTCTGGTGACTCCCCAGGTGAAAACAATTCAGTCAGGACACCCAAGGCAGGAGTGACCCACTTTTCTAAGAAAAATGAGGACCGACCCTTCCTTCCTTCCTTCCTTCCTTCCTTCCTTCCTTCCTTCCTTCCTTCCTTCCTTCCTTCCTTCCTTTTCTTCCTTCCTTCTATCCCTCCCTCCTTTTCTCCCTCCCTCCTTCCTTTCCTCCCTTCCTTCCTTCCCACCCCTTCCTCCCTCTTTTCCAACCAACCTCTCTCTCCCTTCCTTCTTCCCTGTTTCCTACCCTCCTTCCCCTCCCTCCCACCATTTTACTGAGGTGCTCATACTTTTCATGTACACATCATTCCAACAACACTCCTGCCCCCATAGACCCTGCTTCCCTCCATCAGTACCCCTCCATGTAAGCTCAGTTCTACAGACAAAATCTTCAGTTGAAGCACATGCTTCCATGTGGGAGGCCCAGGATCGAGCCCTGGCACACCAGCCCTGACCACTGCCAGGAATCACCACTAAACACAGAACCTGGGGTAACCCCTGAGTACTTATGGGTATGGCCTAACAAAACAAACAGAAACAAACAGCTCTCTGGGAGATGTTGGGGGCAAGCTGCACAGAAGCACGCAGTCCCCCAAACACACTGCATGAAAGTTTAAGAAAATAACTGGAAGGCCAACCCAGCTGTGCTCAGGGCTTGTTCCTGACTGTGCTCAGGGATCACTCCTGGCAGGGATTGGGGGACCATATGTAGTGCTGGGAATCGAACCTGGGTTAGCTGTGAGTAAAGTAAATAAATGCCTTGCCTCCTGTATACCATCTCTCCAGTCCCAAGCAGCACAAATAGCCTTCCTGCTTTGAAGCTATTTCAGGGCTAGTGACAAGCCAATTTTTCTTAGTTTTATTATTCCCTAAAATCCTCATTCCAGTCCCAATCCCACTCCCCACCTATGAGGACGTTGCAACTTCTTTAAGTTCCTAGGAAGAATCTTCAATTATCAAGTTGGAAATGGGTGGAGTTCTATTGTCTCCTAAGTTTTACTTGGTTTTTGTTTGGTCCTGATGGAGCTGGCGGGACCATGTGGTGCCAGGGATCTAACCAGGGTCTCGCACATGCAAGGCACATGCTCTATCTCTTGAGGTACAGGAAGATATTCTCACTATAAACATGTCAAATATCTAGGAAAACTGTCAAGTCAAAGCATTCCTCCACTCAGCACTGCTCCCACTCACTTTCCACTACTGTCACCTTGCAAAGTTTGTAGTTCCTTGCATACTTTTGTCTAGATAATCATCTGCAGGACTTACCTACATAGAATCACCTTACATGGCACATTCCCATTTTTATGGAGATCACTCCTTGACCATTTGTTAAGATGTAGGTGAAAGGGAAGAGCACCAGGTAATCTCACTAATTGGTCATTTTAAATCTTATTCATAGAAAAGTCAAATAATAAGATGGCTGGGGGTGGGAATTAAAAGAACTTTCTTTGTCCCTCACCTACGCCCAGATGAATGTTCAGGAGAACAGAGATTCTTACCAGGCACCCAGAATGCTGAAAGAGATCAAGGAAAGCCACGGAGACAGAAAGCTGCTGGGGTGCAGTCCTAGACAGGCCAGAGAAAGGTTACAGAGCCGCAGGTGCCCTGGAGAGACCCAGAGATAGGTTACAGAGCAGCAAGTCCCAGCAAGGGGACACAAGGTGACATGGTTTCAGCTGCTATTCTAGATCAGGAAAGTGTACATAGGTCAGAGAATGGTGTAGGGACAAGACCATCCTATGCTGGGCGTGAGCAGATGGTAAGGGACAGATTTAGGATGTCATAATCTGAACCAGGCATTAGGGGGACAGGACAATGACATCTCACCTGGGTGAGAGGCTTAAACATTGGGGAGGGGTCTGGACCCATCTACTTAAACTTTACAATAAACCCCAACTAAGCATCTGAATTTTGTCTGCAATTTTATCACAAACTCACAGACCCACAAACTCAGGAATAAGTCCACTTTTGTGCTTACAAATACAAGGTATCTTATAGAGCATACCATAATTCTCTGTTTTAATCAGAACTTGCAGATTATCTCTAGTTGATGGGTTTAGTCTCTATTCCCTTTTGAAAAAATAAAATCATCATCAATGGGACCAAATAGACAGTACAGTGGGCAAGGTGTTCATCTTGCATGGGGCCAACTAGGATTTGATTCCCAGTAACCCATATTATCCTCCAAGTCTGCTAGGAGTGATCCCTGAGCACAGAGACAGGAGTAAGCCCTGAACACAGCTGAGTGTAGTTAAAAACAAAAACAACAAAAAACAAAAAACCAACTTTTTAAAATAAAAAAAATAACAATATGACAATAGTTATATTTTCATATGGCTCTTTGCTCACCTCAAGCTCTCTAGATAGCAGTGAGGAAGGAGTTAAAACAGTTGCCCTTTAATTCTGGGAAGGCAGTAAGTCAGGTGACACATGTGAATCCTTGCAAATCTGAACACTGACCTCCTGGTAGACTGATATTTGCTAGGGCTTTATCTATGGAATGCTCTCAGTAGGATGTGGTTGGCTGAGGAATGCTCATGGTAAACAAACTTAGACTATGGATCTGTGAGGCAAGATCCTTTAGAGGAAAGCCACATAACCACATAACACGCAGGGCCTAAGGCAGTTCTTACTGAAAGCGCCCCTACCTCCCACCTCCAGCCTTGCTCTAGGCCCGAGGGTACCTGTCCAGGGTGGTTCAGAAAGACTGCGGAGATATGGGGAGCAGGGGGTGTACAGACCTTTCCCTGCACCCGGTACCTCATTGCTTCTGCTCCTGAAATTATGAGTACAGCGGCCCTGGGGAAGAATGCAGTCACAGACAGGTTGGCTTTCCAATTCTGTTCTGTGGATTAGCAGGTTCCTGGGAGCCGCCAAGCCCCATCCAAGGGGGCTGTTTCTGTTTTCACTGGGCATGTGAATGAATTTGTTTCTCAGTAACACTGGCTATGGATTCACCAGTGAGGGGGCTACCACCATTTTAAGCTGTATTTTGTTTGACCATTTGCTTGTTGCCCTTTGGATTGTGTGTATGCACTTACTGCCAATGTTATTTGACCTTTTCAAATGTTAAATTATTCACAGGTTGAGTTTTAGACATGCAATGTTACAGCACTAATCCCACCACCAGTGTCAACTTTCCCCACCAATGTCCTGGGTTCCTCGTCCCCAACCTGCCCCCAGTCGCATCTTGACGCCCCTTCTTAAGTTTGGTTGTTGAAGTTGGGATCTCTGGTTCTCAGTGTTGACTGTGGTTTGGACACTTTGCTCTACTTCTCTACACCACTGAGGTCAGATTTTCTTTTTTTTTTCTTTTATTTTTTAAATTTATTTATTGAATCACCGTGAAAACAGTTACAAAGCTTTCAGGTTTAAGTTTCAGTCATACAATGATCAAACACCCATCCCTTCACCAGTGCATATTTTCCACCACTAAGAACCGCAATACACCCCCCACCCCACCCCTCCCCCTGCCTGTGAGGCAGATGATTTCCACTTAACTCTCTTGTGCAATAGCAGCCAGGCAATTTTGGATTTCTGATATTTTACTACTTAAGTCCAGGGGGATTTCTGCCAAAAGCCGCATAGTTCCGAGATTGGTTTGTGTACCTCTGGGTCCATGTCTGTGCCGGAGAGTCGCTCATGGGGTGGGGGTGGGGGGGGCAATTCGTGGGGCGGGAAGGACATGCTGGTCCTGCCCCCCATCCCATGAGGCCTACGTTACCCCGCCACCACCAGCTCATACCTGGCCATACCACCCTGAACGCACCCAATCTCGTCTGATCTCGGAAGCTAAGCAGGGTCGGGCCTGGTTAGTACTTGGATGGGAGGTTAGATTTTCTTATTGAGAAATAGGAACCCTTTCTCCTCCACGTTACAATTTTCTTGCTGAGTACATGAAAGGTGCTCCTCAGCTGAGCTCAGGGCCCAGGGCCCAGGGCCACACCCTGCCACACACAGCCAAACTGGCTAGGGGGTTGCTTCTGCAGGATGCAAGCTCCTTGGGACCTGCAAAAAACCTCTGAGCTCCCAGATCAGATGAAGCCCAGTGCTGGGGAGTGGGGTGGGGGTGACACTTGGTGTTAGGGGGACACAGTGCTGCTGGAGGTATCAGGACCACCCGCCAGTATTCAGAGGCTCCCAGCATGTGGAGCTCAGGGTCTGGAACCTGGTCCAGGGGTGGCCCTGACCACTGTACTATCTCAGGGGTCTTCTGACCAGACAGAAGCCCCCGTTCCCGGGCACAGAGCAGCCCAAAGCACATTTCTAGAGTATTTCTTTCTCTCTCCTTTCTGTGGTGCCAGAGACTAAGCCCAGGGCTTTGCACACTCAAGGCACTGAACACAACCCTTCCTCTTAATATCATTCCTTAAATGAATGACACCTTAAGACAGTTATAATTATTTATTTGGGTAAGAGCATAAAATGTATTTTATAATACATAAGAAAGAAAACACATTTGGGTGAATAAAAAGAAAAATGACAAATGACAGTAGTTAGTGTTTATAAATGAGTAAATTTTAACAATTCAGACAAGAAACTGAAAGGATATTTGAAAGCTGAGACCAAGTTTTAACAATACTTTAAAACAAAAAAAATATTAGGCTTTTAAGGACAATACCTGACAACAGCTTTTCAAATGATTTTGTATAGATTTCTAGATACTCTCATATATGAACATGAAAAAAGAAAGAGACAAGAACTTTGGCAGGAAAAGTATTAGTTCATAGCAGCTTGGTAAAGTTTTCTTTTATATAAACATTTCTGAATTTAAATTTGCTCTTGTTACAAGAGTAGAAAGAACTAATGTGCCAAGTGTATTTTGAGGAGTGGATAAGCCATACAGCAACTATACTTTTAAAAGCCTATATTCTATGAAAATGTGCACCACACAGCATCTGTAGTAAATGAACAAAGGTAAACCATATGCTTATTCAATCTTCTAAATAAAACTCTTAAACGTACATAGTAGTGCCTACACCCCAATCTCTTGTTTGAAGACAGCTTCAAGCTTTAGACTCAGATAAACGTGCTATTCAAAAACAGTCCAGATCTCTGTTATGAAACTGCTGTGTGTGGTCTCTTAGCAATCTTTTCAGTGCTCCAGTAAAAAGACATGCCATGATTAACAATCTTTAGGAAAAATGTACCGAGATTAGAGAAGAATCACCAACATCCAGAAGCTTCTGCCTCCGCCCTTGGAGGACCTTACCTTCAAGACCTGCAGCTCCAAAAAACAATTTAAAATTTCTTGTTTAAAATAAAAAATTTTTAAATCAAGAATATTTGAATAACTCGATTTCTAGGAAATCAAGGCTTCTTAAATTAAGACTAAGCAAAACAGACTAGATTAAAAAATGAATTCTCTTCCCATCATTTATGACAGAAGAAAACTAAATTTAAGTTTTACACACAAAGGATATAAATACTGCATAATATGTAGTGAATATTGGCACACACCCTTTTTTGCATTTAAAGCATAAAATTCGATCAGTAATCTGATGCTCCTAATCTCTGTTTATCACTTACTTAGCTTGCTAATCTGCTACAAGGCACAGAGACCATCGCAGTCTAAGGCTTTCCAACAGGTTTATAGCAAGCATCAGGTTGCCAAAGCCGAATATCAACAAGAACTTGATTGAGTTTTTGCATCCAGAGATCCCGCTCCTCCTTGGTATCTGCAGACAGCCAGTTCCTACAGGAACAGACAACCAATGTCAGGGACATTTTCCTCACTGGCCACCTTCCCTGTCCCTCTGGAGGTGAGGAGACAAAGGCCTGAACAACCCAGTAAAACCAATCTGACCATCTTTGAATGATCCTAACCAAGAACCCCACAGAGAAGGGCCCCTCCAATTGGCAGGAAGAACATGATGGCCCTGGCTGCTTAGCTGACACTGCATGGGATGATACCTGGCAGGGGATGGTCAGTGTCCTGTACAGCTGCCACAGCCTGAGCAGTCTGGGGACAGGGACACCCATCGTCTAGCTCACAAGACCAAGTGCAGCTGGTGACAAGGGGGAGCTCAGAGATCCCTGCCTCAGGCTCCCAGGGCTGAAATGACAGTGACAGGCTCAGCTGGACAGGCAACGTGACAGCTGCAGCCCATCATGGCACCAACAGAGATGATCTAACGATACTAAGACTTGGACCATCTCAGGAATCTCTCTTTCCATCCATATTTAGTTGCAAGCTGAGTAACTAGTTGATAGGGCAGGTGAAGAAATCATCCTTCTAGAACACCCAGTTACTAGGAAACTTTTATGGTATATCTACTCACTACCTTTATAATACCTCCCCATTGGTAGTACAAGCAATATAAGCCGAGTTGACCATCCCCTATCAGTCCACAGAGAGGCTCCAATACTGACAACCCCTATTAGTCTATGGAGAGGCTGCAATACTGACCTTTTAAAATATAACTGGCTAAGTTATATGTAGTTTGATATATTTTAAATTACTATTGACGTTTAATAACTGATAGAGTTTTTCTCATCAAGATTACACAATTCAAAGACATGAGTCATCATTCTTGTGCTCAGAGACCATATATGGTGCCGATGATTGAACTAAAGCCAGCCACACGCAGGCAAGCACCTTAACCCCTGAGCCCCTGCCCTTAACCCTAACCCCAAATCAAAGGCCTTGATGTGCAAATACACTGAAGCAAACATTCAGTGGAAGAAGCATGCAGGGTCAATACATACTTGGTGACACAGAGCGTGTCCCTGCACTGGCTAACCAGGGTCTCTCGGTCGTCTTCTCTCTGCGGCCGGACAGTGATCAGCTCAAAGGTATTGCGTCTTGCACAGAATTCTCTGTTGGCTGGTTCTATCTGACGACTAGTACAATTGGCCAGATTTATCCTTCCTATAGGATTCTATTAAAAACACATTTTTAAAAAAATACATTAATATAACATAAATAAGATCATTTAAGTCGGTAAGCATTTAAGTTGCTATAACTGTAAAATTAAAATGCCATTCACTTGAAAGTTAAAATTGTATTACCCTCTGCTTAGAGAAAGTCAATATAACTGTTTCATTTTTTTATTACCCAAGCAGTTGATGAAGCGTCAGCTCTAAGAAGGTTTAAAAAGAAATTAAAATTACATATATCGTTTTAAAATGATATATTTTATCATTCATCGGCAGCTAGGAATATAACTCAGTGGTAGAGCCTATACTTTGCAAGCAAAAAGCCCAGGATTCAATCTACAGTACCCAAAATAAAATAAAATAAAATAATAAAAAAAACAAAATAACAGAAATTCTGAGGTACGCTTGGTAAAATTGTAAAATGAATTTTTAGTGATAGGCAGTTTGGCTAGAGCAATCAAAATTCAAAATGGGCATATTCTAATTCCAGTGCTCTGCTTAGAAGTAACCTACCCTAAATTCATACATATGTGCACAAAGATGTTTATATAAGCAAAATCACTTTTTCCAAAAGAAGTATCCCTTTACTTATTTATTTATGTGTGCTTTTTGGGCCACATCCAGTACTCATGAGGGCTTACACCTGGCTCTGCGCTCGGGAATCAGTCCTGGAAGGGCTTGGGGGACCATACGGGGTGCTAGGGATAGAGCCTGGGTCAGCCGTGCACCTGGCAAATGCCCTTTCCACCACACTCTCTCTCCAGCCCCAAGAAATGTATCAAATCAAAAGCATTTGAAGAGTAATCAAATCATGAGGAATAACATGACAGAAGAATTTCACATAATTATACAGCATGCACACACACGCACACAGCTCTTGCAGTAAGTTTAAACGGCTCCGTAGCAGAGTTGGGTAGGTGGACGGGATGGAAGGAGTGTGCATGAGGGCCCTCCTCACTGACAAGGCCGCTGCTGCCATTACCTTCCGTCTCTCGTCGTCCGGGTAGGTCCAGTAAGAGATACAGTTCTCAGAAAGAACACACCACCTCCTGTGCCAGGCACCAAAGCCACTCACGTCTTCAAATATAGTCTGGGAAAGGCAACAAACCCCAGCTTTAGAAACCTGAGCATCAGCTAGGCATTAGTTTTAGAAGTCAAATTTCAATAAACTGACATAAATCATACCTCAAATACCTCCTTGCATGATTTTTATCATGCCTTTTAATTCAGTAGTGAGAATCACTGATGGTTCAGACCAGAAACAGCCAGACTCTCCCCATCCGAATAGAAGGCCCTGGGTCCAGGGGACGCACAGAGTATCAGGTGCCCGTGCAACAGGGCACGAAGCAGCCTTGAACCCTAGCACAGAGCTGCTGAGGACAGGACAGGGGACCCAGAACCCTGAACACCATTTGGGGGGGAAGGTGGGGAAGAGGGGGTGCAAGTATTAAGGACTTCCAGGTATTAACCCAAACCCATACGTTATCTAATTTTATACCGTTGTTTTGTTTTGGGTCATACCCAGCGGTACTCAGGACTTACTCCAAGCTCTGCACTCAGGAATTACTCCTGGCAATGCTCAGGGGATCATAACGGAATACTGGGGATCAAACACGGGGCAGCCAAGTGCAAGGCAACCCACTGAAGTATCTATTCTCTAATTTTACACCTAAAAGTATGGAAAACAATTTTTTAAAATATGATATCCCTAATCAAATGATCCTTAAGTGAAGGTACGTTGTGTGTTGTCAGACTTTAAAACACTAAGAGCATCACAGCTTTACATATTTTAAAACTAATAAAGACTTCCTGAGCTAGATGAGTCTTAACACAGAGGTGCCATTCAATTCTAGGCCCTCGTAAAATGCGCTGACTCACACGCTATGCCTGCAGAGGGGATTCTGATGGTCAGTCAGAGCTCCACGCCCCGCGGGGCCTGAGCCAGGAGCTGACCTGCAGGCAACACAGCCCGACAGTCAGGCCAGCTCACAGCACAATGAGGCTGAACTGGGAGGGGACACTGCTGTCATGTCTTCAGGGGGGCTGGTAAGGGACCCTGACTGGGAAAGCAGCTCTGGGGTTAAACAGAAGATTTCCTGAGGAACTGCTGTCACATCCTGACACTGCTGCCCAGTCTATGTGTGGCTGCCCCAGTTCCCCCACAGAAGCAAACGGAAGTACAGGAGCCCAGGCTCCAGCAAACCATCTCAACTCACTAGATGGTGAGAATTCACCAAAAGGAGGCTTCAGACAGGAAGCCTCATCTCTGGCTCCAGGAGAAAGTCATTTTACAAGACAAAAGTTCATAGTTCAAAACCTCAGGGGTCTGGAGACAGGCCAGCGGGTGAGACGCAGGCTGACCATGCACCTGCTGCATGGCTGGGACCCCAAGCACTGTGGGGTTGGCCCCGTGTCCTGCTTCTGCGCACCCTCAGGCCTTGCGCTGCATGGCTGAGTCCCCAGTAGGACCCCTGGACCTCTGCAGCAAAGCTCCAAAACCTTAATCCTCGTATCCCTAATGAATGCATTCAGATAAGCCAGCTCACTCCTGCCATACAGCTCCCCACAGCTGTGTCACTGGCTCCCCTTATATCTTCTTTCCCCCTCAACCAAGACTTTCTCTGGGCGATACTGACCACAGCCACCAAAATAAAAAAGAATCTTGCTGCTTTGATCTCAAGTGCAAAGTTGGTAAAATGACTCACCAGCTTCATTTTGTGGCTTTTTGCATTACAAAGTAATAGACAAAAGGGGACATAAGATGAGCAAGTATATCACAAACCATTATTATACCCTATTTTAATGCGAGAAATAAGAAAAGACTTTCCTCTCTGAGGAAATAGAAGAACAATAAAATCCACATGCCGGCATCAAATCCCAGACCAGAAGTGGAACCCCGCAGCTATGAAAGCCCTTCAGCCCATGCCTGGCTGCTGACTAGGCTGAGGGGCACAAGCCCAGCCCCACAGCTGAGCCCCTCCGCTCCATGATGGGAGTCTCCTGGATTCCCACCAACAAGAGTCAGTGAAGGTCTGTCTTTTGTGTGTCAAGAATAAGGGTACTTCAAAGGCATTTGAAGATAGGACATAGGACATAGAATATTTTAGAGTATCCTGATAAATTCCTTGCCAGGTTTCTTCAAGCGCAGATGCGAAGAGAACAGGCACTAGGGGTCACAAAGCGCAAGCCTGGAGAGCTAACTCTCCACTAATCACCAACCACCCAGCTTCACGATGAGACTGGCCAGACAGCATATGCGAACAGACTAGCTGCCTTAATACTTCATCAGCTGCCAGTACATAAAGAGGTAAGTAGAGAAACTGCCTTGAGTGAGACTTGAAAATCTGCTTTCCCACGAATATCTAGTGCCACCCACTGACTGACGAATAAAAATGCAAGAAGCCTGATTCTATACCATATAGCTGTCCTTTTGGCACGCTCGGTATTAACGGCAATTGAATTTGTGGTATCCTTTGTACCAAACTCTAATCTCACAGAGAAAGGCAGCACTGGTAAGTCTCTTTCCTGCACAACGCAAACAACCTTCTATGTTTTACGTGCACTCTACCTTGGCGGGAGTGCTCAGGGGGTGCTCAGGGGCTACTCCCGCACACTGCTTGTCTGGGAGACCATGCAATGCAGGGGCTTGAACCCAGTATGCACTCTGAGTCATCTCCCTGCCCCATGCTTCTCTCATTGAGCTAGTTCTCCGACGAGCTCAGTGAACTGTGGTCTGCTCCTTTCACTCTCATGGCCTTGTCCCACCTGTTACTTCTCAGCCTCCATCGGTTTCCCTTTCGCCTCTATCGTTAGTCCCTTTAGCCTGCTAGAAACACCAATTTGTATGTAAAGATTTTCAAGTCTCTCAATAAAATGTCAACAATATCTTTCTTTCTTCCTACCTAGCTCTGGGAGTACCACCTTCTATCTCTCTCGTGACAGTGCAGACAGATGGCACAGCTTTACTTTTACTTTGCCAAACCACTGCAAAGAACTGTTCCTTGCTTCCCACCAAACACAAACACACACACACACACACACACACACACACACGACCTGGCATCTGATTTCTCCAGCCCTGACTGAGTCTGCACACGCCTTCCTCTTCTTCTGCCTGTCTCAGCTGCCACCCCTACCTCTCCCAAAACCCCCATCTCCTGCAGGACCACACTGCACACTCCACATGGCCACCAACATCTTTCTTTTGTTTTTAGAGTTTGCTTTTTACTTGGGTGTTTTGGTTTTGGGGCCACACCCAGTGATACTCAGGGCTCTCTCCTGACTCCACACTCAGGAATCACTCCTGGTGGTGCTTGGGGGGCTATATGGGATGCTGGGGATTGAATCCAGGTCGGCTGAGCACAAGGCAAGCTCCCTACCAGTGCACTACTGCTCCACCCACCAATGTCTTTCTAAACTCCAACTTGAAAGCTATTGCTCTACTAAATACCCTAAAAGAATCCATTGGCTGCAGGATAAAGTCCGAATCCTTAAAAAGTCCTTTAACAGCAGTCTGTTTCTCGTAATCCAACAAGAATCCTGTATGAGTTTTTTCTGCTCTCTCCCTTTCTCTCCCTGTCTAGCTTCTCTCCTTATAGCTCTGGCTAATCTTCAACATCTCCCAGCATCCGGATGCGTCACTCCATTCTCTGGACTCAGATAAATGCCCCTGTGGACTCATTTACCCAGGCCACACTTACACGGTCTCCCTCCAAGCTTCCTCTAAGCCTCTCCCTACACTCCAGACTTGAAGTTCCACCAACTCACACCCATGGACTCTGCTCTCGCCTGCTAAGGCCCTGGAGGTAAAAGTAAAGTAAAGTAAAGGCCCTCCCATTGATCGTCGATTTGCTCGAGCGGGCCCAGTAACGTCTCCATTGGAGACTTTGTTGTTACTGTGTCTGGCATATCGAATACTCTCGGTAGCTTGCCGGGCTCTCCGAGAGGGGCGGAGGAATCGAACTCGGGTCGGCCATGTTGGCCGCTTGTAAGGCGAACGCCCTACCCGCTGTGCTATCGCTCCAGGGCTGGAGCGATAGCACAGCGGGTAGGGCATCTGCCTTGCATGCAGCCAACATGGCCGACCCGAGTTCGATTCCTCCGCCCCTCTCGGAGAGCCCGGCAAGCTACCGAGAGTATTCGATATGCCAGACACAGTAACAACAAAAGTCTCCAATGGAGACGTTACTGGGCCCGCTCGAGCAAAGGCCCTGGAGGTACTGTGCAGAATTTTTTCTTTTCACTGATTTCTTCCAATTAAACTACAAGCTGGAGGGATTATTTTGGAAAGCGTATTAGATTCCAGCTCCAGCGCCATGACTGGCACATGTGGATACACAAGTCTTTACTAAACCAACCTGTCAATTAATCTCATACGCTTTTGGGCCTATGCGATAGCACAGCGGATAGGGCATTTGCCTTGCACGCAGCCAACATGAGAAATCAAGCCTTTATTTTATAAAATGGATAAAAGGAAGAAGACATAAAGCAATGTTACTTACTAGAAAGCCTCTTTCTTCCACACTTGAATTCACTTGACATTTTATTTTTAAATAAATATGACCTTCCAAAGGACATAGAAAGGGCACCTGCAAAGAAAAAGGATAATCTTGCAAAACAGGTTCAAAGTGTGAATTTTCTTAACAAACATAAAAATCATGAATAGAAAATATTATGCCTTGAAAACACAGTATTTTATAAAACTGAAATGTAATAAAGGTGACTAAAAATAACCACCGGTTCCTTAGCAACAAATTCTTTTGAAAAATAGATTCATTCACGAGAACTTAATAAAAACAGAATCCTAAATCCCAAGTTAATGTGCTTTAATAAAAAATATTTTAAAACAAAAAAACATATATTATCTTATATATTATATATATTTTATATATATATTAAAAATATAATACATTATCTTAGCTATTATTTAGCAACAGAATATACTCAATGGGAAACTATATAAACCAGCCAATATATTAGTACAAGACAATATTCCTCAACAATAAAGAATACTAAACTATCAAAGGGCTGGAGTGATAGCACAGCGGTAGGGCGTTTGCCTTGCACGCAGCCAACATGGCAGACCCAAGTTCGATTCCTCCGCCCCCTCGGAGAGCCAGGCAAGCTACCGAGAGTATCTCGCCCGCACGGCAGAGCCTGGCAAGCTCCCCGTGATGTATTCGATATGCCAGACACAGTTAACAACAAAGTCTCCAATGGAGACGTTACTGGGCCCGCTCGAGCAAATCGATGAACAACGGGAGGGCCTTTACCTTTATCTAAACTATCAAAACCAAAGTCCATGTGAAATTTCAAGAAGTTCCAATAACTAACTCAGCTTGAAGAACTAAGTAGGAATAATCATACTTCCTTATCCATCTCAAAACTTAATTCACAGCTACAGTAGTTAAAATAGCCGGATACTATATACTATATATATCCTAGCCGGGTATAAAGCTAGGCGGACAGATCAAAGGAATAGAATTGCAAGTCCAGAAATAAACCCAGGTCTATGGCCAAACGACTTTCAAGAAGGCTACCTGAACCAATGAGGAAAGAGACATCTTTCATACAAATGGGGCCATGCAAGAAAGTCAAATTAGAGTTCTCCCATATCATATATAACAATTATTTCAAAATGAGTCAATGACCTGGGTAGAAACTTTTAGGTAGAAACACAAAACTCTGAGCATTCCTCCAAATAAAAATAAAAAGTGCAATTATCAGAAAATCAAACGTTGCTTCTGGAAATCTATGCAGAAGAACAAAAACAGGTTCTCACCAGGAGGGAGAATCATACTCCCACATGCATGATAGCATGTTTCACTAGAGGTAAAAACAAATGATCAAGCAAAAAAAAAAAAAAAAAACCAAGACAGTTTCTTCTCTCCCTGCCCTGCCTCTGAGAGCTTCTCCAGGCACACACACACATCCTGCTCTTCTCCAAGTCTGACACGTTGGTCTTCTCGACTCTGAATCTCTCCTGGTTTGTTTTTGGAGATGTTGGGGATCCCATATTGAGCCTCATACATGAAAGGCAAGCATGGCAAGCATTCTACCAGAGTTCCTCATCAGCTCTACCTTTGCAGAGTTGCTCCTACAACTTTAAATGAACTGCATGTTCTAATAGTCTGCCAAATCACATCAAGGCATTCAAGAGAGAAAGAAGCAGGGGAAAAAGAGAGGAAAAGAAAAAGTGAGAGGGAGGGAGAGAGGGAGGAAATGAGGGAGGAAGGAAGGAAGGGAGGGAGGGAGAGAGGGAGAGGGAGTAGATGAGACAAATAGAAAAAGCATAAAATGATAGACCGTGGAGAGGCTCTGTGATCTATTTTTGTAGAAGCTCATATAGTATCTTAAACTTTGCAGACCATATGAGCTAAGTCACAACTTTTCAACTCAGTCACTGAAACTTGAAAGCAGACTTAGACAATACATAAACATAGGGGGCTGGTTGTGTTACAAAGACTTCAAAAACAATTACAAAACAAGTCACAGTTTGTACAGAACAGCTATAAAAACATGATGCTCAACACCATATAAGAGTATCAGTACTGGGGCTGGAGCACCAGCACAGGGGAGAAAGCACGTGCCTTGCACTTGGCATCCCATATGGCACCCAGAGCCCGCCAGGAGTGACTCCTGAGTGCAAAACCAGGACGAAGCCCTGAGCACCACTGGCTGTGGCCTCAAAACAATATATAGTATAGTATAGTATAGTACAGTATAGTATAGTATAGTATAGTATAGTATAGTATAGTATATATTTTGCGGCTGGAGCGATAGCACAGCAGTAGGGCATTTGCCTTGCACGCAACCAGTCCGGTCAAGCTGGGTTCGATTCCTCCGCCCCTCTCGGTGAGCCCAGCAAGCTACCGAGAGTATCCTGCCCACATGGCAAAGCCTGGCAAGCTACCCGTGACGTATTCAATATACCAAACACAGTAACAACAAGTCTCATGACGGAGACGTTACTGGGCCCGCTCAAGCAAATCGATGAATAACGGGAGGACCGATATATATTTTAAAAAAGAGTATCAATATTGGTTCACTAACTTTGATTAGCGTTGCCACGTTAACAGGCCAGGGAGCTAGTATAGGGCTCAGACCTGGTGCACTGCTAGTCCAGTTGGGCCCCAGTCCAGTGGGTGTGGAGCTGTGGGCTCCAACTGAGTGCCATACTCTGGAGCCCACTCACCAAGTTCTGACAGTTGAGAAACACAGAGCAGAAGGGGCCTCTGATCCCCTGAGTGCTGCTTGGGGGTCCATTCACAATTCCACATTAGTTCAGTGAAAGTCAGAAGGTGGCAGGAGAGGGCAGCTAAGATTGCCTCACAGGAGCCGAGCCCGGCTCAACCCCACCACCTAGGCCAGGTTCACTCTGAGCACTGGCAGAACAGCCCCTACGCGCCAATACAGACAAAAAGAGTGTCAAGAGAAGATAGTAAAATAACCCTAACATTGAGAAAATATGAAAAAGAGGGCATATAGGATTTTTTTGTCTTTGGCCACACCTAGCTATGCTCAGAAGTCACTCCAGGTGCAGATGAGAATGTAGAATTTGCTGTGTGCAAAGCAAGCACCTTACCTGACATGTGATCTCTCTGGCCCAGGAAATATTTTTAATAAACCTATCAGCATATTAGTAGTGAAGATACCTTAAGTTCAAAGTACCTTTCAACTAACAAAAGGTGCTCAAACATATGACAGCTTTTCTAAATTTTGGTTTTATATTATCTTATTTTCCCCCAACTTTTGGTCTTTAGAAAATTTTACTTTTTTATGTACAAAAACTGGATCATTTTTGAAGGCTGGAGCGACAGTACAGTGGGTAGGGCATTTGCTTTGCACACAGCCGACCCGGGTTCGATTCCCAGCATCCCATGTGGTCCTCTGAGCACCTCCAGGAGTAATTCCTGAGTGCAGAGCCAGGAGTAACCCTGAACATTGATGGGTGTGATCCAAATAGCAAAAATTAATTAATTAATTAATTTAATTAAATAAAAAACTGGATCATTTTTATTACCCAAAAAACTTGCTTCTCCTACACCTATTTCATATTCTATTGACCAGTCATATTTTTTAAATGGAAGGAACTTTAGTTTACAATAATACATAGGTTTTCAGTATATCATTTTCTAAGTAAAAATATGTTAATCTAAACACATTGTATTCATACCAAGTTCAGTGCCCCCCCCTTACTATCTGAATTTTAAGCAAAGGTGACAAGTACTACAAAAAAAAAAAATCAGGCTGAGTTGTAGGTCCACAATGTCTGTGGTCGGAGCCCAATCCTCGGCTTCCTCAGCAAAGCAGGAAGCACAGGCCAAGGCCAGCTAAGACAGACAGGATGCGACACTAGCAGCACCCTGGCCATGTGCGGAATTCAAGAGGCCAGCCGGTGGCATTGGGGTCAGGACGGAGAGGAGATAGATGCACTCTGATTCCTGATTCCTAATGAAAAGGACGTCCTCCTCCAGGGGACAGGAATTTAGTCTGAATTTCAAAGATTTGACTTAAGTGCCGAACAATTTAGTCCTTTAAAACAACAAAGAAAAGTTGACTGAGGCACTCAAAGTAATAACTCCAGGAGACAAACCCCCCAACTTACTAAATTAGAAAGGCATATATAATATAGAGCAACACATCATTTACCTAGTTAATCTATGTTATAAATTATCTGGTCTTTTTAAAAAATGTTTTCAGTTTTAAGGTCATAGGCACTCAATGCTAATTAGTGAACAGAATTTTATAGTTCAGTTCAGAGAATGCTGCTAGTAATAAAAGCAAACTCAGAAAAATGAAAGGAAATGTTTTCTCTCACTCTCTAGCTATCGAAAATAGGCAATATTTTTAGATGCTGTCCCGATGAAGCAAATTGAGAATATCCATAAAATGCCCAATATTATAACACCCTGTTGACAGCAAACACATAAAACTGTATAATCCTCTCCTGCTTTCTGTTTAACAAAAGTATTTTTAGAGGCATCTCCCTAAGGAAAATAAGATGTGTAAAATATAACTTATAAGTAAGGTGACTCTGTTATATTTTCTACACCGGGGTATCGTTGAGAAAGTAATACTATGGATGATCACAGCAGACTGACAGACACAAGCCAAGATACCCTACTCCCTCTGTCACCTACAACTCCACAGTGCTCACTGGCATAATGTCTGGCCTCTCTACTGACGTTGACAGCTCTATGTCCTGGAAAGTATAAATGCTTGTGAGGTTTTCTTAAGTAAGATGGTGAGTTGTGATGTCCTCCCTTTATCTACATAAGCACAATAGATCCTGTGGTTATTTTTAACTAAACAGAAAATTCGAAGAGAGTTGCGAGTCTGAGTCATCAAGATTCATAACTTAAATTCCAGAATGTCAAGCTCATCTCTAGATACCTGTAATCTCAACTGAAAAGGCAATCTGCTACCAGTAGTGACCTAAATCTACAGGACAAACAGCCTGAGAAAATCTCAATAGAATTCCATTCTAAAGGGGAGCTCAGACATAAGCTCTCTGATCGCTGTATTATTTGTCAAGGCCCAGTCAAATAGGCACAGTCATGTACTGATGGTATCTGAGGGAGTATGGAAGAACTGTCTACTCTCTCGAAAGTCAGTTAAGCACGACTATTATGTGAAGATAAAAGATCCTCCATTTCCCCAAATTCAAGGCACATCTACACTTGACAGCTCTAAGTATTTGCCAATGTCAGTGAGCTAATTGCCACTGGAACAAGTATTTGCTCCCCACTGCCACTCACACAAGTATATTTAAATTTTACATTTAAATTGTATGTGACTCAGAAAGTGCCATTTTAGCTACGACCAATGAAATTTAGTGACTTGGTTTTATATTCAATATGTTCCTGACAGCATCATCAAAAGAATTATGAAGAGAATGGAAACTCATGTTATTTTTAATTTGTAAGTGTGACATTTGAAGTAAAATGGCAGTCAAATGCTTTTTAAGGAGCAATCCTTATTTTTAAAATGTCACTTAAATTGCTTTCATTTTATATTTTTTCAGATTAATAGAATCTCTAATATATGTAGGAACTAGGCGACAACAACACGGTAAGATTAGTTTATAGAATCCTATTCTTTAAATCTAATTGAGAAATCTTTGAAGAGATTAAAGTAAAATTTAAAGTATCATTTGGCATTATGTAAAATTAACATTTTGGGGCTGGAGCAATAGCACAGCAGGTAGGGCGTTTGCCTTGCACGAAGCAGACCCGGGTTCGATTCCCAGCATCCCATACGATCCCCCGAGCACCACCAGGAGTAATTCCTGAGCACATAAGCCAGGACTAATCCCTGTGTATTGCCAGGTGTGACCAGAAAAGCAAAAAAATAAAACAAAACAAAATAAAATAAACATTTCTATACCCAACAGAATGCTTGAAACTGCTATATGCAAGGTTATCAAAAATTATTTCTAAAGTATATAATCTTTGTATAATCTTACTAATAAAGGTACATTTTAATTTAAAGATAATACAGCTTCAGGTATATCACAAGTATACTGAGATCATAAAATTTACTACTTTTATTTGAAGCATCAATATTCTTCAATATCTAGCAGGTTAAACATATGAATAAATTTTCAATTTTAATCATAATTATTAATTTAATACCCAGAAAGTCAAAACATGGAAATGCTAGAGAAACTTAAAAGGTTTAGAACATAAAAGATAATATAAAACAAAAACCCAAATACCAAACATGCATGAATGGAAACTTTCAAAGACAACTTTAAAAATTTATGAAAGAAAAGATGCCCATCAACAAGTCTAAAGAAAGAATAGTTAATGAATAGCATGTACCCAAAACAACCAAGATGTAAGAATGGTTAGTGAAAAAAACAAAAAAGAAAAGGCCAAAACTTTAAATTCGATTTTCAAAGTCATTAGTTTCAAGCAAAGAAAATGTGGCAACCTTCTCCTGGAACATATAGCCCAGTAGCTCTCGCTCTTTTACATCATAATTTATCTAAAACAAACAGAATAAAAAAAAGAAAAAAATCCAAGATCACTCAATCTGTTAAGCTAGCTGAATTACTGAACAGTACATTTTAAAAGCTTAATATGCTAGAAATACATTTACATATCAACAATAATTTAAAAAAATCAATTCTTTTTTTTTTGCATATTCACTAAATTTTGTTTTTTGTTTTTGTTTTTTCCCACAAAGCTAGATGGTTCTTATCAAAGTTAGATTGTTTTTCTCTAACCTAATATGCTGGAGAGGGAAAAGAAGACAACAGAAATGTATTGACTTTGCTCAATGTTAAAAGGTGATTACTAGCAGAGTTTAAACTAGAAAGCAGGCCTTAAATTTTTATTCTCTATATTTTGACTATAGAATCCTCCTGATATATCCTAAAATGGTCTTGCTAGCTGTCCAGTTATGTCCTAATATGGTAAAAAAGAAAAAAAGTACTCAATATGTGTGGTTATACACAGCTGAATTTCAAAGCTTTGAATTTGGCAAGAGAAGTTTACCAAAGAAATCCACTATTCACAAGTACTTTCCTAAGAAACTTCCTAACTTTCCCAGTCTTGCCAAAACTAAATCTATAAAGCACTATTCATTTCAAAATCTTGCTCCAAATGGGCTAGAAGTTTTAAAACTGTACTCTATAGGCAAGTAGTACTTTTTATCCAGAAGTCACAATATACGCTTCTTTGAAGATTTAACTTCAGATTCAAGGGAGAAATACTTCCTCAGAAAATATATCATTGGTGTATCATTACATACACTCATGAAGACATAAATGCTAACTGCATACAGTTCAAGGATTTCAAACACTTGACAGTACTGGGGCACTTTCATTGACCTGATTTTTCTAAAATTAAGTAAATGAACTTGGTTTACCTTGTCCAATGCGAATTTAGTGTTTCCTACTGAAGACAGTGACAGCGTGTAAGAACCCACAAGGGCAAAATTGCTGGTCCGCACAGCGTTGATGCCTCCTGGACTGGCCAAAACTATAAAGAGAAGAAACAGTTCAGTTTCAGTCCTCACTCTCCCCAATAAAGCAAAACTAAGTTTCCACAGAGAAAACAGTCTCTGTTTCCTGCATCTCTAAATATAGGGGGAAATAACAATATTAGTTCCTAATCAAAAACCTGTTAAGTCTATGCAACAAAAAATGAGGTACAGGCACTCTTAACACTTGGGAATGATATCTTTTAAGAAAAAAAACTGAAAATCTGTACATAAAAAAACTGTTTTCGACCACAACACCCAAAACGAGAGAGAGAACACAGGGGATTGCCCTGCCACAGAGGCAGGGGGGGATGGGGGAATGGGAGTAGGGGGGATATTATCCATGGTGGTGGAAAATGGGCACTGGTGGAGGAATGGGTATCTGATCATTGTATAATCGAAACCCAAGCACAAAAAATTGTAAATCTACAACTGTACCTCATGGTGTTTCACTAATAAAAATAAATAAATAAATAAACAATTAAAAAAAACCTGTTTCCCTGTAAGGGGGGGGGGGAGGGGAAAGACTTCCTAGGACAGCGCTTCTCAACTGGGGGCCATATGGCCCCCCCTGTACCCCCAGGAAAACACCAGATGCGGAGTACCATGACACAGTCCTGGGGACACAGTAGGAAACAAGGTGGAGGATCAGGAACAACGGCCTAGGGTGCTTAGTACAGCAGAGACAAACTGGTTCCATTGTGCTGGCTCTCTTATTCCAAGAGACAAAAGCAAAGGAGGCCTGTGAAGCCAGCTCTGTCCTAGTCCACCTTGGAGCACTTGGCTAATGTCATTCCACAGGAGTGGAATGTGAACTGCAGTCCCAGTGACCTAGAAAGACGCTCTTCTCTACTAGAACACCCATCGTGATCAGTATGGGGAAGAGCAGTTAAGTGGGTGGTAGGGGGAGCAAAACACAAATGATCAGAACAGAAGTTACTCTCAAGAGCTGCAGGTGGGGGGCTGGAGACAGGAAGGACATTCTTCACTTGCATCCTGTACCCCATGGTCCTGAGCATCACTGGGTGCAGCCCTCCAAGGCCCCAGAGGAGCCAGATCAAAGGGTCTGCAAGCAGGAAGGCTGGGTAAGGTGACCGGAAGCACAGAGCGAGAAAGAGCCCCCCAATACTGGCAGGTTTGGTCTCCCCCAGCCCGGGTCCCCTGAAAAGCAGACCGAAAGCTATCAAGTGGCTCTGTGTCAGGTGTGTGCTGCTGAGAGTGCCAGAAAGTGGGGTGGACCACACCCACGGGTGGCAAGAGCCACTTATTCTTCTACTTTACCAAACCAGGAAGAAATGTCAGTCTGAGAGACTCAAGACAAATACTCGTAAGAAAGGTGGCCTGGAGGCACACATAGAGATGGCTTAGCTCTTTTCTTTATTCTAGCATTCAGAACCATTCAAGTTCCACTCACCTGAAGAATGAAGGTTGCTTTTCTGAAATAGGAATGAGGAAGGAACAAATTATTTCTTTATCTTATATAAAATTATAACAACTACATTTCAGCAAACATTTTTTTCCTGTGTAAATTTCAGATTTTCAGTTCCTTGTCATTAGTCTATTTTAACGGCTGCTATGGTATGCAGGGTTTAGAAACAGCTAATGAACTAACCAGCTTTTCGAGGGAGGGAAGGTGGGAACATCAGCAGTGCTCAGGGGACCAAATGCAGTGCCAAGGACTGAACCTGGGTTGGCAAGTGCCGACCCACTGTAGTATTATTTCTTAGGCTCTGACAATCTTATGTGTAAGACAAGTATTTCACAAGAACTTTATTCTTTAAAAAAGTTCTACTTACTGTAGTTATAGATGTGAGAAGCCGCTTTGGAGTAATAGCCTAGAAGATAACGGTATATTAGCGACTAAACATTATAATTTGGAGCTTAAACCTATCTAACCTTTAGACACTGAAGTTTACAGCCTGGTAGGTAAAATAATAACCTTTGGAAAACAACTTTAAATCACATTTCAAGTAGTAACATTTCAGAATATACGTTTATCTGTTTTAGGGGCAACCCAAGCAGTGCTCAGGTCTGTGGGGGGACCCTGGGGGCACACAGGCTGGGGGGGCCTAGTCTGGGGATTTCACAGCGCCCTCCCTCCCCGTGATGCTCTCACTGAGGTTCTCTCATTCTTACCTTGGATTTATATGCTTTTTTCTTCTTATCAAGGCCTGAGGTATCTTTCTTTTGCACCTACATATAAAACCAAGAAATACAATGAGTTCAAAATCGGGATCTTTAAGGAATATATGTCATTAATTACTTTATAAAGTTTTCATTACTTACCAGGCTGTAAACTTCAATATTAATTTCAAAGTCATTGGACACATCTTGGCTGGAAAAAATAAAGCATTAAATAAAACTGTAAGAAAAACATTGCTGTGCCCACCAGGAGGATTACTCCATAGCTTAGAGGCCAGCCGGGCATTCTAGGGGAAAGGGCAGCTCAGATAGAGAAGGGAGCAGCAAATAAAGGGTGTTTGGAGGATCCTCCCAGGAGGGGAGATGCATGTTGAAAGCAGACTATGGACTGAACATGTTTGCCACTCAATGCCTCTTTTGCAGACCACAACACTCAAAAGGAGAGAGAGAACAAAGGGGAATGCCCTGCCACAGACGCAGGGTGGGATGGGGGGATGGGGGTGGGAGGGATACTGGGATCCATGGTGTTGGAAAACGGGCACTGGTGGAGGGATGGGTATTTGATCATTGTATAATCGAAACCCAAGCACAAAAATTTGTAAATCTACAACTGTACCTCATGGTGTTTCACTAAAAAAAATTAAAAAAAAAAATTGCTGTGCCATTCAAAATGATGACACAAGGAGTATCATAAAAGCTTTGGCCAAGAAAAAGGGACTTACTGTTTTTAATTAGAAATAATAGATTATTTACAAACCATGAAAGACTATGGAAGTTAAGAACATCCTGTTCTTGGGACCGAAGTGATAGTACAGCAGGTAGGGTGTTTGCCTCGCACGCGGCCGACCCGGGTTCGATCCCTGGCATCCCATATGGTCCCCCAACCACTGCCAGGAGTAATTTCTGAGTGCATGAGCCAAGAGTAACTCCTGAGCATTGCTGGGTGTGACTCAAAAAAGAAAAAAAAAAAAACAGAACAGCCTGTTCTTTCAACTGTGACACAAATAAAAAAATTTTTTTCAGTATTTTACATCTCAAGATCTTGAAAACTGAAACTATTTTTTTAAAAAAACTGAAGTTTGACTCTCATATCAAAATAAATCTATGACAATGTCTTTTCATGGAAACTGAATATCAAATGCATTACAGGACATGAGCATATATTAAGAAATTACAGTTCAAAAAGCAACCGATGCTGGCGTGGATGTGGCGAGAAAGGGACACTCCTTCACTGCTGGTGGGAATGTCCACTGGTTCAGCCCTTCTGGAAAACAGTATGGACGATTCTCAAAAAATTAGAAATTGAGCTCCCATTTGACCCAGCAATACCACTCCTGGGAATATATCCCAGAGAGGCAAAAATGTATAGTCGAAGTGACATCTGCACTTGTTTGTTCATTGCAGCACTCTTTACAATAGCCAGAAACTGGAAGAAACCTGAATGCCCAAGAACAGATGACTGGTTAAAGAAACTTTGGTACATCTACACAATGGAGTACTATGTAGCTCTTAGAAAAGATGAAGTCATGAAATTTACATACAAGTGGTACAATATGGAAAGTATCATGCTAAGCGAAATGAGTCAGAAAGAGAGGGATAGACATAGAAAGATTGCATTCATCTGGGGGATATAAAGTAACAAAGTATGAGATTAATACCCAAGAATAGCTGAGATCAGCACCAGGAGGATTACTCCATAACTTAGAGGCCAGCCGGGTATCCTAGAGGAAAGGGCTGTTCAGATAGAGAAGGGAGCACCAAATAAAGGATGTTTGGAGGATCCTCCCAGGAGGGGAGATGCATGTCGAAAGTAGACTATGGACTGGACATGTTTGCCACTCAATGCCTCTTTTGCAGACCACAACACCCAAAAGGAGAGAGAGAACACAGGGGATTGCCCTGCCACAGAGACAGGGGGGATGGGGGGATGGGGGTGGGAGGGATATTATCCATGGTGGTGGAAAATGGGCACTGGTGGAGGGATGGGTATCTGATCATTGTATAATTGAAACCAAAGCACAAAAAATTGTAAATCTACAACTTTAAAAAAAATAAAATAAAATAAAGGGGAAAAAAAAAAAAAAAGAAATTACAGTTCAGATTTTATAAACAATTTTAGTCACAAGGAATGTGCTACTCAGTGAAAGGAAAGTGCTATAGTAAGTTAAACCAACAAATTAAAAACAGATATTTGTCCATGTAGAAAAAATGAGCACACTAAAGTTCAAGGATTACAAATGCCACCTGTATTAAAAGAAAACTGTTTGACTACGGAGCCCAATTACTCACAGAGTAAAGGTCGTGGTGAATGTCAGAGCATCTCCGTTCAGAGAGCTCACAGTGCTTGCTAAAGGCGTCGCCACCATGTTTTCAGGTCCCGCTTTGAGCATAATCAAGAAATAGTAATTTGCTGCATCTGCAAGAAGTAATCACATAACAAGCACAAGTAAAATCAGCTTTCTAGAAGACCAAAGGAGTAAAGTGAGAATGCAATTGATTCATACAAAGAAGTATTTTGAATTTACGAACATCAACTTTGCAGACACAAAAAGACACCAAGCAGAACATAAGCCAAGCATCCTAAGTCTAAAATAGGCAGCTTCTTCCTATTGTGTGAACTAGAATAACTTTATCCCAAGTCCCTCAATTTCTGCTCTACATTTTCCAACTGTCCCCTTAATTTTTAGTGTTTTTCATTTTGATTTGAGGTGGAGGGAGGGACAGTCGCATACCCACAGCCCCACTCCTGACTCAGTGCTCAGGGATCCCTCCTCTGGGGGTCAGGAGACCAAATGGGGCACTAGGGATCGAACCTGAGTTGGGGGTATATGCAAGGCAAAAGCCCTACCTGCTGTACTATCTCTTGGCCCATGTCCCCTAATTCTTGAGGCAAAATAAATTCCTCTGACTAGTAAATTCCAATTATTTCAAATTGAGATTAAGTTATTCTATTTGTGAATTTTACTCAGACAAATTCTAATTAAGATCATTTATTCACTGTCATTAAGTGCTCAAGAAAGTTATCAAGACGCTACGCCTTGAAAATCAGACAAGAATAAAAGTTAGAATCTAAGTTACATCATTCCTACTTTAACTTATTTTTTAAAAAAAGAAAATCTACACTTTTTGTTTCATCTGAATCTCAAATTCACTTCTTATCTAATATTCTTAGAGAAGTGCTTTGGGAGTTAGGATATGGTAAAGGTATACGTTTGCATGGGGTCAACTGTGCTCACACTCAACTTGCACCCGGTTGGTGCAAGTCCCCAGAATCGCCAACAGTAGCTCCTGGACCACCTAAACAGCACTTGGGAGTAGCTCTCACCCCTCCCCGCCCAAGAAAAACCGTTAAAAAAAATCTTATCCAGAATTTAATCTAAACTTGCTACAATTACTCTTCCTTGCTGGTTCCATACACTCCTTTATCCAGTTCGGTTGTATATGAATTTTAGAAGAATATGTAGTTTAGGAATGTTTACTTATTCAATCTAGAAGAGCAGAGGGAATAACATGTCATTAGAAGTATCTTTGTTGTGGGCTAGAGATTGGCACAGCATGTAGGACACTTGGCTTTGCATGTGGTCGACACAGTTTTGATCCTCAGTATCCCTGAGCACTGCCTGGAATGACCCCGAGTGCAGAGCCAGGAATAACCCCTGATCATTGCTGGGTGTGACAGCAAAACAAATTTTAAAAACAAACAAAATGAAGCATCTTTGTTGCATCCCCTGAGAGCTAACCTTGCACTTGGCAAATTTGTAGTTGATCCCGGGCACCAAATTATGCTCCACAGAGCCCCACCAGGAGTGATCCCTGAGCAGAGTTAGAAATACCACTGACTGGGTATGACCCATCCTCTCCTAAAAAGAAGTTATCTTTTTAATTTGTACCCATAAACCTGTAATGTAGAATCTATAGAGAAAATTCTTCTCATGAGATTTCTGGGGGACAGCAGGGGTACACTTGATTGTGCGTGGTGGCGGGGAGTGGGATAGACAAAGATACACGCTGTGTGGCCAAGTTGAGGCTCCCACATGCCCTGTTCCTCTGCCAAGCTCAATCTCTGTCGTGCCCAGTAGAACAGGATGGTTTTTGAACAGCAGTAAGTAAAAGATTTTGGATGCCCAAATGCATCCCAAAATAAACCTAGTAATAAGACAAAATGATCTGTTGTGTCAACAAACCTCATTTTAGAAAAATAAAATCTTAACCCAAAACTATGTTTAACAAGTCTTTCAGATAGAGACATGTAAGTTGTTACAGATAAGTAACCCTGTACATGAAATTTTCCCTTGGTTGTTATATATACATCTTCATAAAAGAAATATAAGGTCCATGACACAAGTTTGGATCTTTATGCTTAATGGGCTCACGTTTGCATAACTTTAATCTAAGTAAGGTGTTCAGCCTCTAGAAGTCCAATGCGCTATCCATTGCGCTGGAGCGATAGCACTGCGGGTAGGGCGTTTGCCTTGCACGCAGCCAACATGGCCGACCCGAGTTCGATTCCTCCGCCCCTCTCAGAGAGCCCCGCAAGCTACCGAGAGTATTGGATATGCCAGACACAGTAACAACAAAGTCTCCAATGGAGACGTTACTGGGCCCGCTCGAGCAAATCGATGATCAATGGGAGGGCCTTTATTTACTTTACTTTAAGTAAGGTGTTCATAGTTTAACAATGTCTATAGAAGTTAAGCTAATGAAAATCATCATGCCATACCTGGCTTCTGAACTGTACCACAGACAAAGTCAGCTTTTAAAGGTAAGCGGATTTCTGACAAAGTCACTGATCCTTTAGATGGGAGGAATTCACTTCGGGATCTGGAGCCACCAGCCATATTATTCTTCCTCTGAGGCCCTTCATTCTTCAGTTTATTCAGCTCATCAACCAACAGTGTTCTCTTCTCAGCTATGTTAAGAAATTAGCGAGTTAATACTCCAAATTATAAAACTGACATTCTAAATGTGACAGAATTCAATATAAACATGGCAATACACAAAGACAAAGACAAAAATCAGCAATACTTTTCTCATACAAAAGGAAGCTAAGAAGTTGGTAAATACTGACTGCCACCTGCCTACCAAGTTCTTACAATGGAACACTTCACCATCGATTCAGTTTCTCTGTGTTGCTGAGTCATTGTACCTCAGTAAGTCTGTCACCCAGAACCACAGAAACACACACAAAATTCACAGGCCCTCTGGCCGCACATGAGAGCAGCAGGAGTGTGCTGAAGCGTGCCTGAGTGCATGTGGGTGCTCAGGCCACAGGCTTCTCAGCATCTTCTTCACAACCTCGACTTCCTCAAATGTGCAAACTACTTTTCTTTTGCCTTTCATGCAAATTACATTTTATCTTAAAGTACATAGTACCAACAATTTTTATGAGTACGAGAAACAAAAAAAGACCAAATAAAACAGATTTTCAACAGGGCTGGAAAAATAGTACAGCAGGCATAGCACTTGCCTTGCACATAGCTAGTTTCAATCTCTGGCACCACAGATGGCCTCCAAGCCCACCAGGAGCGAGCCTTGAGCACTACTGGGTACGGCCCTCAAATCAACAGAAAAACAGTTTTGTTTTGTTTTTTTAATTTATCGCTGAAATCAGATTACTGACTCTACTGGACAAAAAGAGACTTCGAGGATGAAGCAGTCCCGAGGCATCACACATACTTGCAATGAGAAGAAGTCTCTCTGCCTCAGCTTCCTCCAAGGACCCTTTGCCATGCTCCTCATCAACACAGCAATTGAGAGCCTGGCTAGCTTGATAGATCACTGTTTGCTGGAGATTGATTTCATTATTGAGTTCCTAGTGAAACCAAGGGGAGGAGGAAAAAAAGCATTGATTTGTTTCACTTTATTTAAACTTTAATTCTGATTCATCTCATTGGGCACGTTCCAAAACACACAGTGATTCAGATAAAGCGAAACTGCCAGTGGCACTGTCCCCAGTCCCACTGTCCTCCCAGAGCAGACACTGTGGTCCTGGGAGGGGGCAGCAGAAACCATCCTGGGGTCCCGGAGTAGCCTCCATCCAACCGGGGTGGGGGGGTGTTTTGCTTGTTCGGTTAAAGGACATACATTGCCAGGAGAGCGCTGAGTAATTTTTTCAGAAGAGAGAGAGGGAGGCCAGACAGGGCTGGAGGCTCTGGTGGAGCCAGAGCTTCTCGGCCTTTCCCCACTGCAGCCCTTCTGACCTGTTTCCTTCCTGTGTCCCCAACCCCTAGTCTTAGGCTGTGGCCCCCACTTTTATGTGGTTTTCACACAGACCCTCTTGAATATTTGGGGACCTATAGGAGACGAATGGCCCCCAACTGGGAAATGCTGGTCAGACTATGCACCAAAAACATTTATGTGGTAATAAAGTCATAAACATTCTTGTGAAAAGATGGAATTCACATAAGATCATAATTGCAACTAATTCCAAGAAAGCAGAGGTTTAAAAGTTATCCGGTTCATTTATGTTACAATTTTTTAAAACTGCCTTTCTACTTGCAAAAGGAAAAAAAAACAAACCTGTGAATAAAATCAATTTTACTTTCCAGCATCATCATTTAAGGAATATATATGACAAACATGTTGAAAAGTAATAGTGATAACAAACAACTTTCTATATTCTCCAATAAAGAGAATTTTTCTCAAGTTAAACTGAATCCAAGAGTGATTTACTGAGCAAAATGCCACAGACTGCGCTATTCACTCAGGGTAGAGAGAGGATTAAGACTGGGTCCTTGACCCCAGGGAATGCAATCTGGAACAGGAAACATTGGAAATCCCCTTCCAAAAGAACATACCTGCATTTTCTGTTTGATATTGACTGGACATAAAAAGGCTTTATTCTTTTCCTCCGATTTTGAAGTAATATCCTCCTTTCGCACAATCACCTGTTTAATTGAAGGTCGATCTGTTTCTTTGAATCTTTGAGATCTATATGCATCAATGCTTTGGGAAATAATTTATTCTGTTAAAAACTCAGCAGTACAGAGTAGTATGGTTTTTGCTTGTTTCTTTTTGTTGTTGTTTGCTTTAGGTTCATTAGAGACTGTGCCAATGGATCACTTCTGGCTGTGCCAGGGGAACATATACGGTGCCAGAGATGAACTGGGGTCAGCTGAGCCAAGCGGCAAGCACACTTCAGCCCTTTACCATCTATCTGGTCCCTGAGCACTCCGCTTTATTGAACACACGAAGCAGAATTTGATACTGATATATTTCAGAACACTTCTCAAAACAGAATAATGCCACCTGGTAAGAGAGTGGCTGACAAAGTTATCCAAAGTTTTACATGGGTGAGTTACTAGTGACAGTATATTACAGATTAAACCCAAGTTCTGATGCCGTATAAGCCATAGCCCTCAGTGAGCACGTTCCTTACAATGTTCTAACCTGTAAGGCAGGTCGCGATCCTCAGAGCCAATGCTATCACCAGACTCAGCTCGGGGAACACGGGTCCTCTGGAATTTTCCTGGCCTGGGACTTTCACTTACGCTGGTTTCCTTAGATCCCAACTCAGGCGAGGAAACCAAGCTCTGCAGAAAAGCACATCAAGTGTTAGAAGACTTTATGGACAACACCGATAAAAAACAATCAAGCTGAGAAATAAATAGGTCTATTATGAAGAAATAAATATCCATAAGTAAACTGAATCATCATAAAAGTCAGGCATATTTAATTCATGAAGAGTAAGTAAATCAAAGTTCAAGGATAGGCCTGGGATGGAGCTAGAAGCAGAGCCAGTGCTCTGCACGTATGAGTTCAATTCCCAGGACAACAAAAAAGTTCAGAGATCGGAAACCTGCACTTAAATCATTCATTTAAAAAATATTTCTAATTGAACCAACTTTTGAACGGAGCTGCAATAATTCATTTTAGGGTGACAACTAGTGATAATAATCTATGTTCAACAAATGTTACTGCTACTAAATACTAATGCATTAATAGGTAAAGGCCCTCCCGTTGATCGTCGATTTGCTCGAGCGGGCCCAGTAACGTCTCCGTTGGAGACTTTGTTGTTACTGTGTCTGGCATATCGAATACTCTCGGTAGCTTGCCGGGCTCTCCGGCATTAATGCATTAATAATAATAATAATAATAATAACCCCATCATGTAGGTATTATTTATTTTTTTAACTTCTCTTAAAGTAAATGGAACTGAAAAGGTTAAATAACTTAAGCAAAAAACAATCAATGGCCAGGCCAGGATTTGAGCCCAAACACCCACCCCTGAAAGTTATTATAGATAAGAACCTTAGATACTATCTAAAGTTATAGGAAACCTCTGGAGAGTTTTAAGACCTATTTTCAGGGAAGTGACATCAGGGTTGCTTGATGGACCATATAGAGTGTCAAATCCCCATCTAAAGGGATGCTGGTCCAGACAGAGCACAGATACCTGCCTCGCATACAGCTGGCCCGACAGAGAACCCTGAGCACCACCAGTAGTGAGCCTGGGCCACAGAGCCAGGGCTAAGCACTGAGCACAGCCAGGTGTCAGGTGTAGCCAAGAAGAAAAGGGTGAGGGGTGAGGGTGGATCCCAAAACGACTTTGATTCCCTGTTCCCAAGTCTGTTTGGATTTAGCCTGTCCTTACCTCTGGACTTATCACACCCACTGTCTGCACTAAAGGAGCAAGTAAGGACATGGAGGAGATATTCAGTGCATCTTCTTGTTCCTCAGTGCCCTCTGCTTCTTCTGGAGCCATCTCTTCTTTATTCCTTTCCACATCTAGTTCACCTGCCTCTAAGACATCACTGAAGATGTCATTAATGACTTTTGAACTATTGATATCGTCATCATCATCCACACTCATCTCAATTTCACGTATCACTTCTGAAAAATAGTTCAATAGACAATTGTGATCATTAAGACTTAAAGGATTAGCAGAGAAGACTTAATACTCAGAAGCTTACTAATTAAACAGGAAAAATGTCTTAATTTGAAAAAAAAAAACCTCTTCTTAGAATATTTATATATCAAACCAAAATAATTTTCAAAGTCCCAGTAACATTTTCTTTCCTGGTTTTTTATCAGATGGGAGTGGGGAGATGGTCCCATCTGGCCTTTGCTCAGGACCTGTGATGGGCCTAGTGCGTGGGGAAATCATGTGGTGCCAGGGATTGAACGTGGGTCTCCTTCAAGGAAAGCTTGTGCTCAGCCCAGTCAGTTATCCCTCCGGCCCTCCAATAACATCTTTAAAGCAAAAAGATTGAGACTATCAAAAGCTGATACAACTCTTTGGATTTAAGAAAGACTAATGTGGGGTTGGCATGTCATATGGTCCTCTGAGTACCAGCAGAAGGAATTCCTGAGTGCAGAGCTAGGAGTAAGCCCTGAGCATTGCCAGTTGTGCCACCCCGCAAAAAAAGAAAGAATAGGGGCTGGAGCAACAGCACAGTGGGTAGGGTATTTGCCTTGCACGCGGCTGACCCGGGTTCAATTCCCAGCATCCCATGTGGTCCCCTGAGCACCGCCAGGAGTAATTCCTGAGTCCAGAGCCAAGAGTAACCCCTGTGCATTGCCAGGTGTGACCCAAAAAGAAAAAAAAATAGTAAAATGTAAACTGTAAGATTACAGCCTAAAGTGGCTTCCAAAAAACATTCTTTCAAATCATTTATTTCCCAAGGGTGGAGGATGACCCTTTCATGGCAGACAGTAACAGGAAACTCCCGACATACCCAAGGCAGGGCTCATGTAAGATGCAAGAGCCACTAATTCCTCACACTGCACGTGTCCAGTGTGCAAGTGTCCCAAAACTATAGCTTTTTGCTTTTGAAAGTGAGTGAATAATTGGACTCTCACAGGTACTATAATATGCTCAAAAGGTAACAGTACTGTATCTTAATAAAAGCTATAACATTTCCTAGCTGAAGGAAAAAAGAGCACTATGCGGTCACAAGAGATTTTAAAATATTAGAACACTGTATATTTGAATATGTGCTTCTACCGATATATTCTTGGAATTTATCCAACATTAATAAAGAATAAAACTAACCAGTCTGCTGCTCAGCCTCCGGGTCTGATGCTACTTTTAAATTCTTTTTCTCTTCTAAAAACAAAGTTATTTTCAAAGGGCTAGACTTCGTCATTTCACATTCAACTGAAGCTAAAAGGAAAAAAAATGGTGTCAAGAAAACCTGTATGAATATATATAAAAGAACTTAGAACTCCTCAGCTAAGGAATCACATGTGACTGTTTCCTGATTATAAAACAACACTTATTTTTAAATGTTTTGTATTCAAATTCAATAATTTTGGAAAATGGGAAGGAGCTTAAGAAGTTAAAACTAGAGCTACTATGTGACTCGGCAATCTCACTTCTGTGCTAGGTTTCTGTTTTGGGGTGAACAGTCTTGTGTTTCTGTCTGAAGAACATGAAAACATTAAGAAAAGAAAGAATAAGCAGAAGCCACGTATGTAGCTCTGGGTCAGAGAACTTCCCTGGATGTGTTGCAGCTCAGAGTTTAATCCCCAGTGCAGACACACACACACACACACACACACACACACACACACACACACACACACTATATACAACCCAATGTTTTCCACAGCATTGTTTACAAATGCTGAGACATGGAAACAATGTGCCCGTGAATAGAGGACTAGACAAAGAAGATGAGACGCATGTAAACAAACAATACTATTCAATTATTTTTAAAAATGAAACTTTGCCCTTGCAGCAAAAGGAAAGGAATGGATTAGATGAAGCAGAGTAAGAAGGAAAAAGACAACTATCAGATGGTCTCACCCATGGGGAGGAGGAAATAGAATTAATAAATGGATATAAAATTGATGAAGACAAAACAAAATAAAAATAAACCACGGGTTGGAGCTGAAGAAATAGTCCAGCAGGAGAGGATCTGCCTTGCCCATGAATGACTCCAGTTCCATCCCCCAGGTCCCCATATGATCCCTGAGTGCAGAGAAAAAACTTTAAACTTCTTTATATTTCCACCATAGGAAGAAATACTTGCAGAGCGGCTGAATTAAAAAATATGCATACCACATCATTCAATAGATATTACTGCATTTCCTCCCCACTCTGCAAAAAAAATATATATATGTAAGATATATACATATATATATATTCGCACTTTCAGCAAGAGTATGAGTTCATGTTCTGGGAAGAACTTAGGAAAAAAAACATTACAAGGCTGGAAGTGGAAATGTGAATGAATGATATGAAGAGATGAATTCACCTTTTCATACTACAGTAGCATTTCTGCTCAATTTATAGAACCAAGGTGACTGAGCACTACATTTTCATGAAGCAGAAATTGGAGACAGGATGGGGCTGGAGCGACAGGACGGGGGGAAGGGCACTTGCCCTGCATGTGGCTGACTGACATTCGATCTCCAGCAACCCATGTGGTCCTTCGAGCATCACCAGGAATAACTCCTGAGTAAGCCCTGAGCACTGCCAGGTATGGCCCAAAATGGGGGGTGGAGGGGTGGGAGGGGGAAGCAATCAAAGACACTGACCTGTAGGCTGTGTACTGGAAGGTTCTACTGATGTCTGATTCTCAGTCACCTTTTCTGTTACTGCAAGTGTTGGACTATTTGAAACAACTTGATGTTTTTTGAGGGGAGTGTTCTGACAGTGAATTTCCTGCAAAAACAAAAAAACAAATGAAGAAAAAAAACTTCTCAAAACTATAAGTTCTTTTCCCCGTGATATCAAATGGGAAAAATAAAGGCTTGTTATTCTACACACACATTCATGGAAGAAAACAGCTACTGGTGTTTGCTCATCAGCATTACAAGGGAATAAGCACTCAGGGTCAGTGAGTACTGGGGTGACTGCCGAGCTTAAGATGACTGAGAGTTGGGGCTGGAGCAATAGCACAGTGGGTAGGGAGTTTTTGCCTTGCACACAGTCAACCCGGGTTCCATTTCCAGCATCCCATATGGCCCCCCCGAGCACCGTCAGGAAGGATTCCTGAGTGCAGAGCCAGGAGTAACCCCTGTGCATCACCACGTGTGACCCCCCCCCCTCCAAAAAAAAAGCAAGATGACTCTCAGTCAGAGGCAGAGATGAAAACCCTGATGAGACACCTGTTTCACATAATCCAATTCAAGTGAAAGCCACAGAGGGGAGAAACAATCCCGTCACCCAGTTCATTCCACCCCTATCAGATCCAGAGACAGGCTCTATACCAGGACTCCACTTTCCAGAGAAGGAAAAAAGAAAATGATCACAAGAAAAGAAGAAAAGAGAAAGGAAAAAGCTTCCCTCATCTGAATCAGTTTTAAGATGATTACGCAATGAAAATACTGTTTTTGTTTTTAGGGTGGCCTATTTTGTTGTTTTGTTTTGTCTTTCATCTTGTTTTGGGACCACACCCAGCTGTACTTAGGGTTTACTCCTGGCTCTGCACTCAGGAACCATGTGCCAGGCCGAACACTGAACCCAGGTCAGCTATACCCAAGACGCATACCTTATTTCCTCTCTAGCCCTACTTTTAAAATGGACTGACTAGATTAAATGAGTAGAGAAATAATTACAATCAGATGAGGTAAATACAGGTTGCATGGGGGACAAGAGAGCCCCCTTGAAAAAAGTGGTAAAAGGAATTCAGAGGGAATTAAAGTTTGACCCAGTTGACAAACAGGCTCCTCACAGGACAGGAACAACCTAGTAAGACCAGGAACACCAACCACCTGTGAGAAACTGCAGTCTGACAGAACTAAAGTGCGTGGTGGAGAGCAACAGGGAGCGCGCGTCTGACCATTCACTTCAGAGCATTTTCTAGCTATGGTTGTAAGGAGGGCATCAGGTGTTTCATTTACCTGCCTGTGGCTGTTTGCTCTCCGGGGCACACTAGGTGGTGGTCCCAGCTTGGCAGTCACTCCCAGGGGAACTTGTGGGACCACATAATGCCAGGGATCCAGTTGGGGTCAGCCCATGTAGACAAGTGCCTTAACCCCTGTTCTAAGCCTCTAGCCTGCTTTGCTAGATTTTCTGTTGGTTTGTTTAGGGGCCACACCTGGTGGTGCTCAGAGGACCATATGAGATGCCAGGGATAGAACCCAGGTAAGCCTCATGCAAGGTAAATTCCCACTATCCTACTACCGTTCCAGCCCTGCTTTCTTGGAGGTTTCAGACATACAAGTATCTGTCTTACAGAAGTACCTCTCTGGCTACAGCCTGCAGGAAGGAGCCAGACTGAACACAGGGGTCTCTCCAAAGCTATGGGAGATGTGGGCAGTGGCAGATACAGAGAACAAAGAAAGATACTGTGTTTAGACAGAACCATTCTTACAAATTTTCTTTTACTGAGTCCCGGACAAGAACAGTGCAGTCTTTTGCCCCCGCGCCTGGGTGTCCCTCGCCGGGACCCCTTGGAGGGGAGCGGGTCGAGCTTTCCTCCCCGCCCCGACCGGGGCTCTGGCAGCCGAAGACCTCCAGGACCAGCCACCACCATGCTGAGACCACTCTCCGCACACATGAAGGTACTGGCAGAGGGACAAAGCCACGCAGGTTCCGGGGCCGAGACCTCCAAGCCTACTCGAATTGCAGTCGAGCATCTTCCACCCAGATCCTCCAAATTCCAGTAGGCGGGGGTCACACCCACCACCTGGCCCCCTGGCGCCGTGTAATCCCATCAGCGGCCAAGACTCAGAGACTATAAAATTCAGATCCCGGAACCGCGCGGCCGCATTCGCGGCTGCGCGACATCTTATCAGAACTTTTCTTTATGACATCTTATTATCTCATTCCTACTTTGGACAAACTGGCAGGCTATCGAATGTAGCCTGCCCACAGGGCAGAGTCTGGCAAACTCCCCGTGGCGTACCAAATATGCCAAATACCAGTAACAATGATGGGTCTCATTCTCCTAAAGAGTCGTGAATATAATCTCAGGGCTAGGATGAAAGAGACGTTACTGGGGCCTGCTCGAGGCAATCGACGATTAACAGGATGATGAAATGAAATGAAAAAATGAAAAATGAGTCTTTTTTGATCATTCCACTAGCCATTTAGTAGTAACAAACAATATCAAATAAATTATTCTGAAGACAGAGCACACGATCCTCCTCAGCCACAGCTCAGCAAGATGAGCAGGCAGGCAGACAGCACTGCTGGGTGCGGCTGTCCCTGTGAGGAAGGGGAAGCCTGTGCGGACACTGGAAAAAAACGCGCCAACATCAGAGCGCCCGGGAACGTGGCCTGTTAGCAAGGACTGAGAGAAACAGAATCAACCGGCAGTCATTCTCAAGACTGGGTAAATGGATTGTTTCCTTTCTGCTGGGAAGCTCTTGGATTATAGACGGGATAAAAGAATGGGATTTGAGGGAAGGAAACAAGAACGAGAAAAGCAGATGCAGAGAAACATTTTAGAACCAAAGTTCAAAGGAATCTGGAAGTACTAAATAACGAGAAATTTTCAAAATTTGATTTGAATTTTATTTACAGCAGATGATCGATGAATCTGGTAAAGATTTCCATTAAATGGAAAAATGAGAAATGCAAAGTTGAAGTGAACATTTAAGGAGAAAAAAGTGTCACTTTTTAACAGAAAGAGGAAAGTATATGAAGAATTACTTTTAACACAAAACCACAAATTAGACTACAACTTTGATACCAAGTTTATGTTTACATGCCATGTCAGCATTACCTGTTTGGCTTCTGATTCTTTGCTTCTTGAGTTTTGACCTTTTTCTGCACTCCATAAATTTCCCCTGTCAAATCGGCCACGAAGACATGCTAGTTCTTTTTCACGTTCCTAAAAATTATCAGAAGCTCAATTTTAAATGCATGACTAATCGTATGTTTAAGGATATCCAAGTACCACTCAACTTTACTTGTTTCCAGTTTGGAAATTTAAAAACTCACAATGCATATGGAACACAGAATATTAATATTTCTAATTTGAACTATGTGATAAAGACAACTAAAATGTTACTTATCTCAGCGCAAAAGACTAACATTAGAACCCCCAACGTAATTTCTAGGTACTATGCTGACAATGTAATGAGTAACGTTAAAAGAGGTAATTAATACCTGCTTGAGCTGTTGGGCTGCATGAGTGGTGGACAAAGAAGCGCTTTGCTTGAATAATCTTTCTTGGATGGCCTTTGTGTTTGGGGTGATAACAGGAGTTCTGTGGGGTGTGCTTCGAGCTGGGCTTTCTCTGCTGTGCTCGTGACAACGCTCTGCAAAGCGTTCCAGGAAAGGCTTAATCCCTGCACCTCCTACAAAGAAAAGCACACATTTTGGAGGTTATTCAGTGATAAGTATAGTTTTTATGAGAAAATTTCTAAAACCAGTACAGAACCCAAAGGTTTTGATTCTACTGTGAATAAACACTCAGAAAATAGATAGTATAAAAACAGTTCATACTTAAATTTTTACCATACTATTCTATTACATTCCATTTCCTACTACATCTATAGTATTTATTTCTTTAAAGGAGTACAGGAATAGCCAGGGAGCTGACTCAAGGGCTGAAGCAGAGGCCTTGCGTGGAGGACACCCAGATTCGATCCTGGACACAGAGTGGCCTCCAGCACACACACACACACACACACAAATTAAAAAGTAGAGTGAGAGGGCTGGAGCAATAGCACAGCAGGTAGGGCGTTTGCCTTGCACACAGCCTACCTAGGTTCGATTCCCAGCATCCCATATGATCCCCTGAGCACCACCAGGAGTAATTCCTGAGTGCATAAACCAGGAGTAACTCCTGTGCATTGCCGGTGTGACCCAAAAAGCAAAAAAAAAAAAAAGTAGAGTGAGGGGACAAGGGCTGAGAAAACCCTACATGATTGGAACAACTAAACAACACTACACTTAAGCACTGTGTCCTGGCCTAACTACTAGTATTTCTATAGCCTAATTTATTTATATTGCTTTAGGAAGCTCCATGTATGAAAACTATGGAATATCCCTGGTCTCTCTCAAAAGAAAATTTAGAAATTATTTAATCAAAAGATGTCTTCAGGGCCCAAAGCAATAGTACAGTGGGTAGGGTTTGCCTTGCACATGACTGAACCTGGACATGGTTGAATCCCCGGCATCCTATATGCTCCGTGTGAGTTCTGAGTGCAGAGCCAGGAGTAACTCATGAGCACTGCTGGGTATTAACCCCCCAACTCCAATTTTTTTTTTTAAATAAAAGGATTTCTTGATGTCTGAGTAGTATGAGGCACACTGAAATAGAACAAAAGGTACAGCAGGTAGAGAGTTTGCCTTGCACGCAGCCAACCCGGGTTCAATACCAGACATCCTATATGGTCTTCGGAGCATTGCCAGGAGTAATTCCTGAGTGCAGAACCAGGAGTAATCCCTGAGCGTTGCCAGGTGTGACCCAAAAAAGCAATAAAGTAATTCATAAATAGAACTAACGTCCTAGTGACAGTATGGCAGTAGGGCTCTTGCTTTCTATGTGACTGACCCCCAGTCCATCCCCAGCATCCCATGTGGTCCCCCAAGCATGGCCAGGAGTGATCCCTGAATGCAGAACGGGAACAAGCCCTGAGTAGAGAGCCGGGTGTAAACCAAAGCAAATGAATAAATGAAAGAGATGCAATCCTCTCCATACCCTGTGCTGTACGAAGGGAAGATGGCTCCACTGTTACAGAATGGAGAGGCCCGCATCAGGCCCTGCACTCCAGGGCCCCCTGAAATACCGCACACCAGAGCAAGATAAAGGCGGTTTCTCTCAGGAATTGGCAGCATTTTGCTGGAATGGTCCGGGAAGTGTTGTGGGCTCCACAGGCCACGTGGCCACAGCAGCAAGGCTCCTTTCTACCTCAGCATCAAAGCAGCCGCTCTCACGGCAGAGCCGGAGTCACTGTGTGCAAGAGGATTTCCTTTACAGCACAGCTAAGCAGAGCTTGGCCCACGGCCACAGTTTGAAGAGCCGCATGCCATGTATTACTCCATCTGCTGTCCGAAACTACAGTCCACTAAAAATACAAATACCCGTCCAAATCAAGTAGCTCTGAGTCGCTGGCAATGGATTTTGAAAAACAAAATGTTTATCTACATAATCATCTTTAGAAAATTAGGAGGAACTGTCCTATTTCACGTGGAACTTTGTTATTACTTTCAATATTAATTTTGGCTCATCTGAAAACAGAATTGGTCTTTAATTACTCTCATCTGTCCATCTGGTCTCTTCTTTTTTGTGTATATATTAGAGTTTCTAGTTTCTATTTTCAAGTGAAAGATAATTATTTTCAAGTTATGTTTCTATTTTCAAGCGAAGGTTCTATTGTCAGGTAAAAAAAATCTTTCCCAAAATAATTCTAATAAGGAATAATAAAGATTAAATAAATCATCCTGCCATAAAACTTGAACCACATATTTTAAACCTGTTTCTCAATGAACAATATATGGGGATATGTCAGAAAAATATGTGACCACAAGATAAAAATGGATTTCCTGTAGCATGCATTGATTCGGTAATTTCAAAACGTCCTAGTATACATTCACATACATCATTGGGAGTGAAGGAATTCACGGAAGATCACTTTCATTTGCTACTGGTGTCTTCAGAGAGAACTTGAGAAGCACTGTGCTTTACAGCTTGTTTCCAAGAGTTTTTCATTCTCCACTATGACACTTAGTTGGATATGTTATATCATCCAGAAGATACAACAAAGTTCCCCCAATGTTCACTGTGAAAAATCTATTTTTGTTGTTCTTTTGTTCTCTGGCACACCTGGCAATTTTCAAATACTACTACTGTTTCTGTGCTCAGGGATCACTCCTGGTGTAGCTCGGGGGACTATATGTGGTGCCAGGGATCAAACCCTGGTTGGCTGGATGCAAAGCAAGTGCCCCATCTGGTGGACTATGACTCCAGCCCCTAAACAGACATACCTAAATGTTAGTGACTAATCATTTACTCTATCAAAGCTGACTTTTAAGAAGCCCCAGTCAACACAAGCAGGCACTTGCTGCCAATACTGTACCATTGGCTGGAGCAACAGCACAGCGCTAGGGCATTTTCCTTGCGTGCGGCCGACCCGACCGACCCGGGTTGAATTCCTCCGCCCCTCTCGGAGAGCCCAGCAAGCTACTGAGAGTATCTCACAGACAAGGCAAAGCCTGGCAAGCTACCCATGACATATTCTATATGCCAAACACAGTAAAAAGTCTCACAATGGAGATGTTACTGGGCCCGCTCGAGCAAATCGATGAACAATGGGAGGACAGAGACAGTGACTGTACCATTAACCAACGTTTAAAACTCTGAGAACAGGGGGCCAGGTAGAGAGTCCGGAAGGCAGAGTATTTGCCTTGCATGCAGCTGTCCTGGGTATTTGATCCCCAGCACCCACTATGGGCCCCAAAGCACCACCGGGAGTGATCCCTGAGCACAGAGCCAAGGGTAAGTCCTGAGCACTGCGGGTGTGGTGCCCAAATCAAAACAACAAGTAAATAAAAATAAAATGCTGAGAACAGATTATGCTGAAAATAACAGATAACCACACCAAAAAAATCAGTTACTTTAGATTTTTTTCTTCTTTTTTTTTTTTTGTGCATAACCTGGTGTTGTAGATTTGGTGTCAGGCTGAGACTGCAGAGAAATCTCTCGATTTAATTCTTCTCTGGGTCGGACTGTCTGGGACACAGCTGACTTCCCAGCTGGTTTTGAGGCCTCTGTTTTCAGAGGACTAACCCGGGTTTTGTGAAGTCGCTCAGGATTTTGTAGCTCAGTGCGGGATGCGACAGAAGGTTTCACTGGGGATGCAGCTTTCTGAAACACAACAAAAAGTAAATGAGAATATCCAGAATAGCTAAAACAACTCAAATTCCATTGTTTCATACCCTTTATGTGAACGTATTTAAAAGAGAAAGAACAAGTCTTGCTCTCTAGATACATCAAATCATGTGATGGGTCTGGAAACATCAGCCCTGAAATGCAGGGAACTGATCCCCAAGGGACTGGGAACGGGCGGTCGCGGTCGCTCGCCTGAGGCCTGTCCTGAGCTCCTGCGCCCCAGACCCAGCCACCCATGCAGAGAGCTGGTGGTCCCGGACAGGACAGCAGAGAGAATGCTTGGCCGGCACACAGAAGACCCCATATGGTTCCCAGAGCCTGACCACCAAGTGCAGAACTCTGCAGGGGTGACCCAAAAACCTAAATAAATGCAAACTAACCAGGGCCAGAGAGGCAGTACAGGTATACACATGTATATACACACATAAAGCCTTGCAGATGTTGGCCACATGCAATATCCTGGCTGTCTCAGGGCTCACTTCTGCTCTGTGCTCAGGGCTCATTCCTGGCTCTGTGCTCAGGGATCACTCCCGGCCCTGTGCTCAGGGCTCACTCCTGGCTATCTCCTGGCTCTGTCTCAGGGCTCACTCCTGGCTCTGTGCTCAGTGCTCACTCCTGATTCTGTGCTCAGGGATCACTCCTGGCTCTGTCTCAGGGATCACTCCTGGAGGGAGGTACTGGGGGACTATATGTGGTGCTGAGGGTTGAACCCAGGTCAGTCATATCCAAGGCAAGCACTCTATCCACTGTACTATCTCTAACTAACTGCGTATTTTTTACATTTTAATTATGTTGATACTGACTTGGGAAAATCATATCATTCACTTGATTATAACAGAATGCTTTATGAACATTAACTCATTCATGCCCCACCATAATCCTCTCCTTCCCATTTTATAGATAAGGAAAGCCCTAAACACTGCCAGGTGTAGCGCACAAAAACAAGATCCTAGCTCTAGAGTTAAAGGCAATACTCAGAAAGACAAAAATTTTATGTTTCCTTTGCTTTTAAAAATCACTGAGACTAAAAAGCCAAAGACGGTAGTCTCTATAGTCGTGCACGGGTAAGGTGGCCTCTCAGACACACAAAAGGCTGCAACAGTGTGTCACAACTACTCCTGACAACTCTGTTCAGGAAGAACACAACAATTGATAGGGGGTACTTTCCAAAGACAGCTTCTATCTCACAGCTACACATATGCATCCTAATGCTAATTAGGGGGACAGTGACTCTGTGCACTCTCTCCAACAAGAGAGGCTCCATCACTCCATATTCCACACCTTGGAATTGCACTTACTCTAAACAATCGACAACTAATTCATCTATAATAGAATGCCAAACTCTTTTAACTTCCTATTTAATGTTCTAAACATGAACATACTGCTACCTGTACATACATGGATCTATCTACAAATATTGCATCAGTCATCAAAAAAAAAAAAAGGTAAGAGATAAATACTACTACTCAAAACCAGAAAAAGGACAGTTTCCACAATCAGAACTGCACCCACTTACCGCAGAGCCTTTCTTCAAAGCCCCGGCACCGTCCCTCTGGGAACAGCATGCAGCTTCCTGCTCAACACTGAAGCTATTGATCCCAGCAGATGCTCCACTTGCAGAGGAAAGTTTGGATAAACAAGTGGTACCAGGCTGTTCTCGGGCACTGTTTTGTTTTGCAGATGAGTAACTGATGTCATCTTCCCAGGAGCAAATAGTAGCAGCAAGGTTGGCCAGACGGCCCCTTCTGCCAAGGGGGGTGGCTGGGCCCCCCGAAGGGGCAGGTCGAGGAGGGGAGGCAGGCCTGTCCTCTGCAGGCACCGAGAGGACACAGGCTTCAGGTGGATCCACTGAGGATGCTGGGGAAAGAACGAGAACCCATATTTATGTATGGATAATACCACAGCACTCTATTCTGAAACCCCAAAATTCTTTTATGTTCAAATTCTAGTGAAAAATGGCCAGGGAGATGGCTGAAAGGGGTGGAGCACAGGTCTTACAAGAAGTATAGTAACAAGTTCGATTCCCAGCACCACTGGTCATGGTCTGGAGGCCACCCAAATCCTCCATGCATAGTGCTATCAGAAGGGGTCCCCAGAGCATCACTGTGGAGTCCCTCCCAAGTAAAACGATTGCCATAAGGTCCAATCTGTAACTTTTCATTGTCCGATACTTAAAATCTTTCAGTTAAAGAAGAAAAAAAAAAAGAATCCTGCCATTTTGGGGCCAGAGCAACAGTCTAGCAAGTAGGATGCTTACCTAATACACAGCCAACCCAGGTTCAATCCCTGGTATCCCATATGGTCCCCCAAGCCCTCCAGGAATAATACCTGAGCCTGGAGCCAGGAGTTAGCCCTTAGCACCACCAGGCGTGACCCCAAAACAAAAACAGCTATTTTGAAATATTGCCTGTAATATAATATAAAACCCAGCTCCCGGAAGCACATGGCTGCATTTGCGGCCGCGCGACATCTTATTATCTCATTCTTACTTTGGACAAACTGGCAGGCTACCGAATATAACCTGCTCACATGGCAGAGTCTGGCAAACTCCCGGTGGCGTACCCAATATGCCAAATACCAGTAACAATGATGGGTCTCATTCTCCTAACCCTGAAAGAGCCTTGAATATGGCACTTTTTAAAAAATCTCAGGACTAGGATGAAGGAGATGTTACTGGGGCCTGCCTGAGGCAATCGACAAACAACAGGATGGCCGTGATCGTGAATATGTGTAGTGTGTTCATGTGTTCATGTAAAAAAGGTCTCAGTTTTAGCTGTGTACCAGAATTAACTAGAGAACTTAAAAAAAAAAAAATCCACCATCCTTCTGAGACTCCAGTCTGAATAATTCTGGTTCCAGGGCTGGAGGAAAGCTGAAAGACAGCCCCTCTGCCCACCACCTGTCTAGGGGCACAAGGCAGGTCTGACTTTGAAATCACTTTTACCAACTGTGTCTGGAGTCCGGCCATCTGCCTGCCTTGAGAACTTCTCCTTTCCTGACTCCCACAATCAAGCTTAGAACACAGGGAGAATACCCTGAGGTGCTCAGAATAGTGATGGCCTGCTTTTATCTGAGAAACACCGGTCATGTAACTGATAAGTGTTGCACCTGTTTACCTTGGCCACTGCCATATCAGAACCATCTCTTAGTCAAGTACAGCAGAGTTAAAGGTCTGTTATCTAATAAGCTAACTCTGTCCCTCATTTCTTTCTGTTTCCTCCCCGTATTTTCTCTATACCCTGATTTCCTTATTTTCTTGTTTAGTAATATAGTTTGTCAATATAGGTTATAAATAGTTTCAAGGTTTGGGGAGTAAGAGAGCAAAATGTAATAAAATTTATTGTAGCACAAATAACGCTATTGGATGTTTACTCCTGGCCTCTGGGGCCAGAAAGGCAAGGATCCGAGTCCTCACCACTCTAGCACCTTAGCCAACAGCCCCAACACGCCATGCCTATGTTCAGCCTTCTGATGTTCTCACCCTTCACCGACCCGAGTCACACACATTTCATTGCTAAATACATATGACAGAATCTCTTGAATACAAAGCTGAAGATGAGAATTGCTAATGTCAAAAATATACTGTCAGGGAGAGGTACGAGCTTACAGTGACGGGGCGCACGGGCCTCTCGGGATGGGGGAGGCGGAACCGGCCCTTCCCCCAACCCGGACGAGACTCCTAGTTGCCGCCCACAAAAGGTTCCTCAGTTCCTCAACGGCCATGATCCCAGAGGCACACAAACCAATCTCAGAACCCAGTAGCTTCTGGCAGAAATCCCTCTGTACTTAATTACTAAAATACCAGAATACAAAAGTAAGTGGCTGCTGTTGCAGCCTCACGACATCTAATGTTCTTTATTATCAGCAATAGAAAACAAATTATCTAATGATGCCTTTTCGGCAGGTCTGATTGTTGGGGGGAAAATTCCAAATAATAATAGTGGGTCTTCTTCCGAAAAATTGAATGTAATCAAAGAGAGAGTAAAGTGAAAATCATCTACCACACAGGCAGAGGGAAGGGTGGGATGGGGGGGTATACTGGGGTTCTTGGTGGTGAAACATCCCTTCACATGTGCACTGGTGAAGGGATGGGTTTTTGATCATTGTATGATTGAGACTTAAACCTGAAAGCTTTATAACTGTTCTCACGGTGATTCAATAAAAAATATATATAGACTGTTGGGCCTGAGAGACAGTGTAGCAGGTAAGGCACTTGCCTTGCATGCTGTGGACCCAGGTTCAATCCTTGGCACTCCATATGGTCCCGAGAACCCTGCCAAGAATGATCCCTAAGCACAGCTAAGAATTAACCCTGAGCATCATTGATGTGACCCCCTATCCAAATCCAAACAAAATAGAGAATATTTCTGTTGGGGGTTGGGGGGTCTTGTGTTGTATGTGTGAGGTCCTGAGCTTGAATTCTGACACTACAAAATAGAAAAAACCATTCCTGTTGGCCAGGCTTGATTTGAGTAACATTAACTGGGTTGGAGTTATATAAATATGATCAGCTTTTTGAATCCTGACCATTACCATTCAGGAAGTGCAATCACTGTTTTTCCATCCTGAATGGACGTGATTAGTAAAGTTCACTTCAGAGGTGATAAATTCCACCTGGAAACCTGCAGAGATTCGTGTTCTATGTAGAGTTATACATCTGGTTATATTAATGTATCACACAGTCTCCTAGAACAGAGGAAGACTCACATGTGCTTCAAGCTGTATTATGAGCCTGGCAAAGGCCAAAGAAAAGTTGGTGGTGACCCCTTTATCTGTTTGTTGGCCTTCATTATGGTAATTTAATTTAAACTCCCTGTATCTAAAATGCTGTCTTCACTAAATAAAAAGTATCTCTGTGACTTAATGTATAACATCAAATAAAGAATATTCAACATAGAGCAGGATCCGCCGCCGACGCTGCGGAGCTCACACTGGCTGAGAGAGTTAGAAAACCACCACCCAACAGCACACTGCCGTACAGAGAGAAGAAGGACCACATGGAGGGCTGGCTCCACAGCTCCCTGAGTAGAAACCAGGTCCCGAAGAGAGCCGAGATCATCTGGAAGTCCCAGATGGGGTAGGTGCCGCATCCCCCCTCCCCCAGATGGAACCCCGGTGACCAGAAGCCTCCACAAGCATAGCTCGAGTATGCGGGAACTAGGACTTTTCCTCCAAACCGCCGGGACCATCCCGGCCCCCAAATAACCTCTGATCCCGGAAGTCATGCCCACGGCCCGCCCCCCAGCGCCATCTTTACAGCACACTGCCGTACAGAGAGAAGAAGGACCACATGGAGGGCTGGCTCCACAGCTCCCGGAGAAGAAACCAGGTTCCAAAAAGAGCCGAGATCACCGGGAAGTCCCAGATGGAGTAGGTGCCGCATCCCGCCTCCCCCAGATGGAACCCCGGTGACCAGAAGCCTCCACAAGCATAGCTCGAGTATGCGGGAACTAGGACTTTTCCTCCAAACCAAATGTAAGTGGCCGCGTGACATCTCTGTATATACAAAGTGATCAATGGGAAGTAAATCACCCAATGTTTCTCCCTGAAAATCAGAGTTAAGTTTGGAGCACGGCCACAGCTCCAGAAGCACAAGGACTTAATGCAGAACCCAGCAGCTTAAAGCAGAAAAGTGAATGGACTATGCGTTAATCCAGGCCATTATGTCTGCCCAGAGGGGAAAGGGTGTTGCCCCATTCGCCCTCTCTTCTCTGGAAAGAAAGATGGCGGTCGCATGGGAGCCTTGTGGACAGCAGGTATGAGCTGGGAGTGCGGGGGCAACTAAAACCTCATGGGAAGGGGGGCGTTCCGGTCCATCCTTCAAGCCCTACCAAGGTCACCAGTTGCCCCCCATGAGCGGCTCTCCAGCACGGCCACGGCCCCAGAAGCACAAGGACTTAATGCAGAACCCAGCAGCTTGGAGCAGAAAAGTGAACGGACTATGTGTTAATCCAGGCCATCATGTCTGCCCGGAGGGGAAAGAGTGTTGCTCCCTTCCGCCCTCCTCCCTTTGGAAAGAAAGATGGCGGCCGCATGGGAGCCTTGTGGACAGCAGGTATGAGCTGGGGGTGCGGGGGCAACTAAAACCTCATGGGAAGGGGGGCGTTCCGGTCCATCCTTCACGCCCTACTGAGGTCACCAGTTGCCCCCCATGAGCGGCTCTCCAGCACGGCCACGGCCCCAGAAGCACAAGGACTTAATGCAGAACCCAGCAGCTTGGAGCAGAAAAGTGAATGGACTATGCGTTAATCCAGGCCATCATATCTGCCCGGAGGGGAAAGGGTGTTGCCCCATTCGCCCTCTCCTCTCTGGAAAGAAAGATGGCGGCCACATGGGTGCCTTGTGGAGAGCAGGTGTGAGCCGGGGGTGTGGGGGCGACTAAAACCTCATGGGAATGGGGGTGTTCCAGTCCGTCCTTCACGCCCTACTGAGGCCGCCAGTTGCCCCCCAGGAGCGGCTCTCCAGCACGGCCACGACTCCAGAGCACAGAAACCAATCTCTTAATTATCTGACTCTCAGTAGAAACACTTCCAGGGTTAATTAGCAAAATAGCGGAAATCCAAAACCAACATTTAATTCTTGAACCCAGCTGTAGAAAGCGAATCACTTCACAATGCTTTCTCAGAATGTCTGATGTGGGGGGAGGGGGGCTAAACTCTAAATAATAGTGGTGCATCTTTTATTGAAACAATGAATCTAATCAAAGCAGATAAAGTGTCAACTAGAATTCATCTGCCTCACAGGCATTGGGAGGGGTGGGGGGTGGGGTTTTATTGGGGTTCTTCGTGGTAAAAAAATAAGTATTGGTAAAGGGAAAGGTGTTTGATATTTGCATGACTGAGACCTAAACCTGAAAGCTTTGTAACTTTTCCCACAGTGATTCAATAAATAAATTATTTTAAAAAAAAAAAGAATATTCAACAATTCTCCCCAGAAGAATATTGTTTGTTTTGCTTTGGTTTGCTTTTCGGCCATACCTGGTGGTGTTCTGGGGTCATTCCTGCCTCTGTGCTCAGGACTGGCTCCCAGCAGTGCTTGAGGGACCATATGTGATGTGAGGGTTCGAACCAGAGTTTGGAAAATGTGAGGCAAGCACCTTATCTCCTACACTATCTCGCCAGGCCTGCATGCATATTTCCAGTGCAAATATAAAATCAGACTACTGTGAACTAGTGTAAAAGCTACAGCACCATCTTCACTGAGAGCACAGCCAATTCAATATACCACATGTATGCAAAATACCTGCAAGTAAAGAACCCTCAGGCTATGGTCAAATGAAAGTGTTTGTCTTTTTCAGTGTTATTAAGATGTTTTTAACTTGAATAAAATTTAAAACATACCAAGTTGACTCTTGCACCACGCCCAGTGGTACTGAGGGCTGCAGGCAAGGCCACTCCTGCCTTAGTGCTCAGGGGACTGCGGAGCTGGGCCCTGAACACAGGGATCCTATAAGTAAAGGCTGCACCCCACCCCCCAGAGTGGATTCCTTTTGGCTGGCTTTTTTGGGGGCCCCATCTTCACCATGGAATTCAGGTGCTGCTTTGGACTCGGGACCCAGGGATGTTTAGAATACTGTGTTCCAGTCACTGGGCCCCTCCCTGGCACCCAGGCTTACTCTCACTGAAATGAGGCATGCCCAGACCATCCAGATAAATGGTACCTGTCACATCATCACTCGCATCCCAGTGGCGCCTCCTTTCAGCCAGTTTCTGCATTCGGGTCCTCACTGAAGAGGCAGCGGGTGCTTCCAGTGTGGAGCCCAGGCCTGGTGGCTGGCCCATCGGTGACCAAGCGGGGGCAGTAGGCTCCTGGGCAGGAGCGGAGGCTTGGGGCTGTGTCTGAGGAGACACAGGGCTAGGGGAACAGGATTTCACAGGAGCTGATCCGACGGGCTGCTCATTTTCCAGATTAGACACTTCAACTTTCTTGTCGTCTGAACAGCGCTTTTTGGATGGCGAGGGCTTTGTACAAGATTTCTCTAGATGAGAAAGGAAAACAGCTTCAAAATTCTCTCATTTCTCACAGCATGAAGACCAGCAGTAGATTACTCAACAGATGACTGAAACACCATGTCCCTTTCTTCCTTAGTATAATTTTACTTACAATAAGAAACATATGTATAATTCCACGCCCGGTAATTTAGAACACTAATAGGTGAGATTTCCTGTTCAGGAAAAGTTAATTTATAGTTAAAATATAATTTATGGTTCAAAATGAATGAAAATTAATTCAAGTATCATTGCTAAGATAACTACATAAAACTTTAGTACTATTAAAAAGGCAGGGACTGGTGCGATAGTACAATGGGTAAGGCGTTTGTCTTGTACGCGGCTAACCCAGGTTTGATTCCCAGCATTCCATATGGTCCCCCAAGCACTGCAAAACCAGGAGTAACCCCCGTGCATTGCCAGGTATGACCCAAAAAGCTAAAAAAAAAAAAGAAAGAAAAAAAAAGGGAAATATCTGTCCTAAGGGATTTTGAAGAATACACAGCCCATTCAGCTCTTATTTAGATTACTTGCCTAAAGGGACAGAACTAAGTTAGGGGTAAAAACCAGGGTTTCTGCTTCATAACACTCTTTCTCAGATAAGAAGCAAGAGTCGAGATGCCTGAGTGAGGGTCAGGAGAAGCAGGGAACCGCAAAGGCAGCTGGACAGACTGGGCAGTACCAGCCAGACTCACTAGCTCACCGTTTCACTACACTTTCTGTTTTAAACTTCCACAGACACCTATAAGCAAACTTAGGTATTTTAAAATAAAACAAAGCTATTCACATCCAACATCAAGCTTGTGCTATGGATATCAGTCTACTAAAACACCATATGAAACATCCTATGAACATACTCTGGTTCAGGAAACCTTGAAATCTTCTAATCTTCTGTCATTTTTGGACTTATGCTCCTTGAACCCATCCAATCATTTTCTAAATGAGTTCAATTTTACACGGATCACCACCGGAAATACAGGACTCTTCAGATTTCAAGTTCTAATATAAAGTAGTAGATGCTCCCGTTTAAGCATCAAAATGTCACTTGATCCACAAGTTCTCAAGTATATAGTATTAAATATCTGATTACATAAGCCTGTGTCAACCTGACAATGGCAATTCTAAAATAGGACCAAGCCTCTATTTTCTTTCTTTTTTTTTTTTATTAGTGAAACACAATGAGGTACAGTTATAGACTTACAAGTTTTTGTGCTTGGGTTTCAGTTATACAATGATCAAGTATCCATCCCTCCACCAGCGTCCATCCTCCACCACCACGGGTCCCAGCATCCCTCCCACCCCCCGTCCCCCCATCCCACCTTGCCTCTGTGGCAGGGCATTCCCTTTTGTTCTCTCTCTCTCCTTTTGGGTCCTGTGGTTTGCAAGAGAGGCAATGAGTGGAAATCATGTTCGGCCTATAGTCTACTTTCAGCATGCTTCTCCCATCCCTCCCAACACCCTTTATTTGGTGTTCCCTTCTCTATCTGAGCTTCCTTTTTCCCCTAGCACGTGTCAAGCCTCTATTTTCTAGTTGAATACCAAAGCTATGCCATACATTTCCCTCCCTCTCTTCAAAATGTGTAAAAAGAGGTAAAAGTGATTTCTCAGGGTCAGATCAATGGTACAAAGGGGAGGGTACCCGCCTGGAGCAGGCCTGACGGGGTCCAATCCCTGGTACCATGTCCAGGACTCTGCCCTGACAGGCATAGCCAGGTACAACTCCAAACAACAACGGATTCTTCATTCTATACATTCTATAGTTAGCTTCCAAAATAACTGAGTCAGATACCCTGGTTTCTCTTCAGATCATGTAAATCTTTCATCTTGTACCAAAATTACTGAGTCTTGGAGCCAGAGCAATAGTACAGCAGGTAGGGTTCTTCCCTCGTATGTGGTTGATCCAGACTGATGCCCAGCATCCCATGTGGTCCCTGAGCCCACCAGGAGTGATCCCTGAGTGCAATCAGAAGGCCCCAGCACTGCCAAATGTGACCCACCCCCTCCAAAAAAAAAAAAAGAGTCAACACCATTTCACATTTCTATTTTTTTGTATTATAACATGAGATACTGTTAACTTTCTGTTTCTATATGCATCTTTGTTTAGGGCGACAGGCAACAGTGCTCAGGGCCTACTGCTGGACCTGCATTCTGCATTCGGGATCGCTGGCAAAATCATAGGCAGTGCCAGGGATCAAATCTAGGTTGACTGCATGCAAGGCAGGCACCCTACCCTCTGGGCTATCTCTGCAGCTCCTAAAAAATGATTTGTACAGCCAAAACTATCCCTTACCTGAGGAACACTCTAAAGCAAGCAGCCGGTGCAAGTTAGAGAGGCATGACTTAAGCAAGAGAAAAGCCCCAGCGGATGTCTGCGTCTGTAGAGTAGCAGCCACACTCTGTACCTCCTCAGCTGTCTCTGCACTCACAAGGACGAGGAACATGTCCACTCCAGCCTCTGATGCAGGGCTGCTCTCTGCCACGCTGCGCTGGCCACGGGGCCACAGGCCCTCAACACCGGGCAGGCACAGGTAATAAACCCCACCTTGATACTAGCGTAACTGCTCCCCTGCACCTTTCTTTTATTGGTCTGGGGGCAGGTAACGATAACTTTAGATTGAGGAAAATAAAATTCAACAACTAATTTGAAATAGTTGATGGATATTCTGTTCTAGCCTTATGAGTTCTAAGCACAGCATAGCACATCACACACCACGCCTAAGCTAGGAACGTGATTTTTTTCCTCCAAAGACTGTTCCATTTCCTCAATGAAGTGTCGGTTCTCTTCGTGTGCAGTGGTGTAGAGGGCTGTGGCCTTAAAGGCAAATACTGCACGCCACCCCTTACCACACCCCATGACAGCTTCTTACCTTCACCTCCAGGTGGGAGCTGCTGCTTATTTGCATCTGACAGTGGCTCTCTGGCCCGCTTGGCTTGAACCCCAATCCTTGGTGCAGCTGTGGGCCTCTCAGCCATTTTTCTCTGAAGATTCTCTCGCCTGGCACGGGTTCGTTCAAGCAGTTTCTACACACAGAACATAAAAGACAAATGTAGGCAATAATTCATAAAACGCAGACATCTTCTGAAGTCTGGACATGCAGGGTAACAGTGAAATACAGTTGAAAAGTAGGATTCTAGATTGTCATGTCTAAATTCACCCAAAGAAAATCTGATTTCTAAACGACTGCAGATGCAATACAGACAAAGGGGAATAAAATGCAACACTCACTGAACAGGAGTTTTAGTATCCAGAGGTTTCTCCAGTTCATTCACACCTTTGAATTGCACTGGCCCATCTGATTTACTTTGATGGATAAAATGTGGCGGAAGTAACGCTCCACACTCAGGTCTCAAAAGGCCTTGCAGTTTCTGTTCTCCCTCTCTGGGAGCTCCAGCCCATGAAGGAAGCCAGTGCAGCCCATGGCACAGAGATACTGGCAGTCAGCATCAAGCATCGGTCCAGGGCAAGACTGGAGATCACCATGGACACCAGCATGGCCCAGGTGAGAAAGTGATTTTCCTGCTTTGCTTTCCAAGCTGAGGGGAGGTGTTCCCCAGCAATGCTCAGGAGGTCTAGGCGTTCCGGGGCCATGCAGGGCCAGGGATCAAGCCAAGTGAGGCACATCTAGGCATTGCTCTTACACTGTACTCCCAGCCAGCCCCGAAGTATAAATGAACAAGTGTTAATTAGCAAAATTAACAAATGTTTTAAGCACCATGATTCACAGAATGCTGGACCCCCCAAAGTTTGGTCCTGCCTTAATCATCCCCTAAACCTGTGAATCGCTCACCTTCCACAACAGCAAAAGGCATTTTGTTGATGGGATTAAAGTGGAGAGATTATCAAGGATTACCTGGGTGTGTGCAATGTAATCCCAGTTGTGCTTATAAGTGAAAAGAGGCTGGAAGATCAGATATGCCAAAGGCTGGCAGAGGTCTGAGTATGTGACTGGTGGCTTTGAGAATGATTATTACAAAAATTGTAATAATCCCCAGAAGCTGAAGAGGTGAGGAAATCTTCCCACAGAGCAGAGCCTTCAGAACAAACACAACCTGCAGTCACCTTGATTTTAACCCAGAAAAATGTACCAGATCTCTGACCTACAAGTTCACATGACCTGTTAGGTATTAGATCTGATACAAGAGCAATACTACTGGCCACTAAATCATGAAGAAATGGGGTGGTGTGGGGAACTGAGACAGCACAGTGAGCATGGTGCTTGCCTTGCAGCCAACCTGGGTTCAGTCCTGAGCACCACTATAGTCTACCAGGAGTGACCCCTGAGCACAGAGCCAGGGGTTGTCAGTCAAACCTGACGTTGGGTTTGGCCCCAAAACAAAAACAATCATTCAGCAGATTCAGAGGAGGTACGGGGTAAGGCCTTTGCCTTTCAAGCAGCCACCTGAGTGGGCTTTGATCCTGGGTACTATCTATGGTACCCGAGCACTGCCAGGAGTAATCCCAGAAGGGATTCCTGAGCAGAGAGCCAGAAGTAAACCCTGAGCACTGCCAGATGTGACCCAAAAAGAAATCGAAATTAACAAAACTATTCGTCCTTTGAAAATGAAAGCTTTGTAAGGGAGAAAAATCCTAAACAATATTACACTTAACTATAGATCAATAGGTAATAAAATGGTTTTGTGTTGCAATCAGTCATCCCATAAAATCATGAACACTCTTTAAAAATTAATTCTATTAAGGGGCCATTGGTTTACAAGAGTGTAGGTCTGGAAAGCCAGAACAGTGGATAAGGCTCTTGGCTTGCACACAG